GAACTCCTGCGCAGTCGTGACCGACCTAAAGCGGGGGCGCTCAGACAGGGGGAGAGCATGACTGATCGCAAGCTTGGCTACAGCGTCAAGCGACAGCCAGACAGCACGGGCAAGGGTAGCAGCAGCAGCGGACTCACGGTCAGCAGACGTGGGGTTAGCGGGTAGTGCAGCCAAGGGGTCAGGGTAGGGGAGCGAACCGTCGATGTGAACGGCCAGGGAGTGGCCGTCCTGCCGCTGACCGGTGAGGTGACAGCGAATGTCGACGAGCCACGTGTCAAACTCAACCGGCTGACCTCCGCGTCAAAGCGCAGCACCGAGTCCGCCATCATGGTCGCTGGAGCAGGAGATCGGCAGTGCAGTGCGGTGCAAGGTGGTGCAGGGCGGTGCAGGGCGGTACAGTGCGGTGCAATATGATACAGTGCGGTGCAGTGCGATACAGTGCGGTGCAGTGCGGTGAAGCGCGGTGCAGACCAGTGGAAGGGCCGATGAAGCGAGGTGGGAGTCGAAGGGGCAGCTGGTCAACAGGGGCCACGTGGCGGCTAGGGGACGCAGCCGCGGGCGGCGAGGCGACGGGGCCGGCTAGGCAGCTGGGCCGGCTGGGCGTCGGGGCCGGCTGGGCAATGGGGCCTGCTAGGCGACGGGGCCGGCTGGGCGACGGGGCCGGCTGGGCGATGGGGCCGACTAGGAGACCGGGCCGGCTAGGCGACGGGGCTGGCTAGGCGACGGGGCCGGCTAGGCGACGGGGCCGGCTAGGCGACGGGGCTGGCTGGGCGACGGGGCCGGCTGGGCGACGGGGCCGGCTAGGCGACGGGGCCAGCTGGGCTACGGGGCCGGCTAGGTGGCGAGGCCGGCTAGGCGACGGGGCCGATGAGGAAACGGGGCCGGCTGGGCGACGGGGCCGGCTGGGCGACAGGGCCGGCTAGGCGACGGGGCCAGCTGGGCTACGGGGCCGGCTAGGTGGCGAGGCCGGCTAGGCGACGGGGCCGATTAGGAAACGGGGCCGGCTAGGGGACGGGGCCGGCTGGGCAACGGGGCCGGCTAGGCGACGGGGCCGGCTAGGCTACGGGGCCGGCTAGGCAATAAGGCCGGCTGGGCGTCGGGGCCAGCTGGGCTATGGGGCCGGCTAGGTGGCGGGGCCGGCTGGGCGACGAGGCCGGCTAGGCGCTAGGTGACGGGGGGCCACTAGGGGACGGTCCAGCACGGGCGGGAGGGTGACAGGGCGGCTAGGACCTATGGCAGAAGCGCGGGTGGGCGGGTAGGACCTAACCTACTCATGATACCATATCAAAGTTTAACGAATGACTAGAACCATGGCATACAAGGGAATATAACCTAGTGGGTTGTACTCTCTAAGGCACAACCCAGTGTATTCTATAATAACATACAAGGATATGTTTGAAAAAAAGGGCTTATTAAGTAGCGGATATGTGCGCCCATAAAACCCCAGGCTCTGTACCTGTGGCCCTTCCCCGAGAATCTCAAGGGCAACCCCAGCGGGTCTCCCAACACCCCCCCTGATTGGGATAGGCAGAAGACCTTGCACCTCTACTGGTGCAATGTCACCTCTACAGGTGCACACACTGGGAATTGAACCCAAGACCTTTGGCTCTGACTACATGTTAGAAACTTAGTCACTAACCACTGAGTTCAAAGGGCTTATTAAGTAGTGGGTATGTGCGCCCATAAACCCCCATGCTCTGCACCTGTGGAACCTGTGCACATGGCATCACGGTGGGTTAGGTCCCCCTCCCCGCCTACGCTTCCGCCCCTAGCCCTAGCCCTAGCCTTAGACCGCGCCCTAGCCCGCTCCCCGTCACGCCGCGCCGGCCCGGTCCTGCCGCGCCGGCCCCGTCACGCCGCCCCAGCTCGGTCACTCCGCACCGGCCCTGTTACGCCGTGCCGGCCCCGTCACGCCGCACCGGCCCCGTCACCGCGCGCCGGCCCCACCACACCGAGCTGCACCGCCGAGCCACCACGCCGCTTGCCGCCCCTATCACTGTCACGCTTGCTGACCCCTCCTCAGGTCCGGTAGTTGCCCATAGCTCCACCACCCTTCCCTGTCCGGCGGTCCCCTCGGGTTCTCTTACAGGCCTGCACGTCGCCTCGTTCTCCCGGAACCCTCGTTGGTGTCGATTGTCCCAGACGTGTCTGGACCGTGTCGATGACTACATACAATACACCACAGTGTTTCCCCTGAAGCGGAAGGCTGACGTGCCTAGCATTCTTCTCCCGTGGGTCGTAATTGCGCGAGTCCACCGCGGCCTCCCTGTGCTGCGTCTCCACTCCGACCGTGGCGGCGAGTTTGCCTCTGGTCGACTTGGCCAGTTCTGTCGTGCGGAGGGCATCACCAAGTCATACACCCTGCCAGACTCCCCGCAGCAGAATGGGGTCGCTGAGCGACGCATCGGTTTGATCATGGAGATGGCTCGTACCTCTATAATCTATGCCGGTGCACCCCATCTTCTGAGGCCGTTCGCTGTCGGCTACGTCGCTCACCAGCTTAACCTGCGGCCGCACTCCCAGTGGCCGCAGGTTTCACCAACCCTTCTCGGGACTGGATTCCCTTGTGACGCGTCTACGTTCCACGTCTGGGGCTGCCTTGCTCACGTTCGTGTCTCTGGCACGGACAACCTCACTGCCTACACTGTTCCCAGTGTGTTCCTTGGTTTCCCCCTCGACGCGTCTGACTGGCACTTTTACCACCCACCGTCTCACTGCTTCTTTCACTCCCCTGACGTCACTTTTGACGAGTCTGTCTCCTTCTACCACAATTTTCCCCACCGAGGTCTCTTGGTTTCCCCACCCCTGTTTCTGGTTCTCACTCCCCCAGTAGCCCCTGCTCCTCTCCCTCCCCTTCCTGCCCCGTTTGGTGTGTCTCACGTCACTCCCCTCCCATTGGTTGTCCCAGGCGAGGAGTCGGTTGACTCTGGTGGCCCCGCGGCGCCGTTCTTGCCGCGTGTCTCCACCCGGTGTCTCCTCCGCCGCCGTCGCAGCAGCCGCCGCCGTCGCCGCCGCAGCAGCAGTCGCCGTCGCCGCTGCCGCAGCAGCAACTGCCGCAGGGGATCGCGAGCTTTGGGGGTGCGGGCGTTGAGGAGGGTGCTAATCCTGGGGTTCCTGTCGTGGCTTGTCCCGGTGGTCCTGGGGGTGGCACCGGTGCTCGAGAGGGTTCTCGTTCTGGGGGTGCTAGTCTTGAGGTTCCTGTCTTGGCTCGTCCCGGCGGTCTCGGGAGTGGCCTCGGTGTTGGCGAGGGTTCTCGCTCTGGGGGTGTTGGCATGGAGTGCCCCAGAGGTAGCCGCGGTGCAGCTGGAGGTTCTGGTGTCGGCGTGGAGCAGCAGCAGTAGTTGCCGCCGGTGTCCACCCTTTGCCTTCTCGGTCTTCCCTCCCCTGACCACCCACCTGCGCCTCCCCTGCCTGTCTATGGCCCTGTGTTTTCGCAGTCGGACTCGTCTCCAGTGCGTTTCCCCCCTGTCTCCTCCTGTGTCTCCTGACCCGACGCCTCTGTCCCATTTCTGGTCTCGCCGTCCCTCTCGTGCTCGTCTTGTCTCTCCTGTTCAGTGTTCTCACCCTATGTTGCTCCGTTCCCACGCGTCTCGTCCTCCTCTCCTGTCGTCGCCTCCTCCGTCGTCGCTTGATGTCGCTTCGCCTCCTCTGTCTTTGCCTCTACCCGCCGCCTTGACTACGCCACTGCTCTTGTCTCTGACCCTGCCCGTCTTCCGTCTGTCGAGGGTGCTCCTGCCCTCGGCAGTGACGTCCTGGAGGACTGGCAGTACGAGCTAGCTTTCCTGTCCGAGGCCGCTCCTCATCTCTGCTCCATAATGCTAGTCCCTGAGGGTGACCCAGGCGCCTTTGAAATCCCGACCCCTCGCACTTACGCTGAAGCGACCTCGGGACTCTGGGCCTCTTAGTGGATAGCTGCCATGGACGCGGAGATGGCATCTTCGAGATCCACTGGCACCTACGTCGACGCAGTTCCCCCACATGGGGTGAACGTAGTTGATGGCTGGTGGCTCTTCAAGGTGAAGCACCCTCGTGGAGAGCCGCCGGTGTTCAAGGCACGCTACGTTGCTAGAGGCTTCATTCAGCGCAATAGTGTTGACGTCTTTCAGACCTTCGCCCCGGTCCCGAAGATGATCACTCTTCGGGCACTACTACACGTAGCAGCTCAGCGTGACTACGAGCTGCATTCCCTCGACTTCTCTACAGCGTTTCTCCAGGGCAGTTTGCACGAGTCGGTCTACGTGCGCTGTCCGCCGGGGTTCACCAGCATCTTCGCCCCGGGGACTGAGTGGCTCCTTCGGCGCCCAGTTTACGGTCTGGGGCAGGCGCCCTGTGAGTGGCACGACAAGCTGCGTGCTACATTAGCTGACTTACAGTTTTTCCCGTCGTCTGCAAACGCTTCGCTCTTCGTTCGTTCAGGACAGACCCCATTCTCCATCCTTGTCTACGTAGCCGACCTGGTCTTTGCTACTGCAGACAGAGACGCACTAGCCTCCGTGAAGGCTGAGCTGCTGAGGAGACAATCCTGCCCTGAACTAGGGGAGGTGCGCTATTACCTCGAGCTACAGATCTCCAGGGACAGAGCAGCGCGCAACATCCCTCTCAAACAGTCACACTTTGTGCGCCAGGTACTTCAGAGCTTCGGTCTTCAGTTCTCCGCGCAACCCACATTTCGGCCAGTAGATCATAGGCTCTCGGCTCAAGTCCCCGAGGAGTCGGTAGAGCCTAGTGGTCGGTACGCAGAGCTGGTGGGTTGCCACATGTACCTGATGACTTGCTCTCGTCCAGATCTCACATACCCTCTCAGCATCCTGGCTCGCTCAAGCCTGGGGATTTAAGTAGCGGGTATGGGCGCCCATATCCCCGCAGGCTCTGCACCTGTGGCCCTTCCCCGTGAATCTCAAGAGCAACCACGACAGGTCTTGCAACAGAATGCTGATCCTGATCCCAAACAGTAGGATTACACCTAAACAGGCATGTGTTATGCTCACGGATCTGTTACTGTTCAATTAACATAAAAACATAGAAATGATAAATTCTTGTCAGAAAGAAAGGCAATGAAGGGTGTAGACAGCATTCTGGGCAAAAAAAAGTCAGCAAGCAACATTTTAGGTAGCCAAGGCCTCCACAATGATGTTCTAGGCAACCAAGACCACCAAATTGGTATTACCGGCAGCTAAGGCCAACGGAAAAACATTCCAGATGCAGGACCCAGTGAAAGCCTAAGAGCTTGAGATGTAGAAATAGCAAATGCAGCTGAGAGCATCCTAGATGCAGAGGTAGCCGATGCAGTTGGTGTAGGAAACGATACACTGCAGAGCAAAGCAGCGCCAGTCGTTGGGGCAAACAACAGGCGGGACGGAGCCGCACACCAGATCTGCCAGCAACAAGGGGGGGGAAAGAAAGGTAAGGTCAGCACCTCCAGTGACACGTGCGCCCACTGACAGAGGCACCTCCAGCTTTGCTGCCAGTACTCACCGACACAAGTCAAGGGCAGGATGGCGGCGCTGGCAGTGTTGGGGGTCTGGGCGTTGAAGGGTACAGAGGCATTGACCGTGCAGATGCCCCGGCCAAGGCACAGCATGCCCTGCCCCGGAACAGAGGAGGTGCTGCAGATGTTGCACCCAGACGCCCGCTGTGTTGACAGAACCTTGGTGGTGCACGATGCAGCGTTGAGCAGGCAGTTGCTGGCGGCGCCGCAAGAGGTGGCGGAGTTGGTGGGAAAGGTGCCCGACAGGAAGTTGCTGGACATGTCAATATCCTTGAGGGCTGGCGACAGCGGCGGCACGCGGTACGTCAGATAGTTGTATGAGATACCACTGGCACGTCATGGTGGGGAGGGAGGAAGGAGGTACGGATATGACAAGCTCTTTGAAGACCTGAGACTTTGCAGGCAAGGAAACATTGAGCATAAAAACGTGTCAAGTTGCGCAGGAGCAGGAGAGAACAGGGCGATGGGGAGGTGGCTTCTAGGAAGGTACTGACAGGCGCGTGAGTGAGGCCATGCCGACAAGAGCAGGGGGCAGACTCCCAAAGAACCAATTGAAGTCAAGCAGCCTGCAGGACACACATGCACACACAAGTGCACGAAAATGGCCTCATACACACATACACAGATATACAATGCACACACTCATACACACAACATGCACACATGCACACCCACACACAACACAAGAAACATGCACATACACACAAACATATACAAACCCCCTCCCCCCCTCCCTCAACACACACGCATAGTAGGAGACAGAGATAGGGGTCAGTTGGCATGAGAAGCGATAAGATGGAATGAGAAGAGAGGGCGAGGAAAACTAAGTCCTACACTAAGAGATTGGGGAGCGACTCACAGCACTGCGAGGCTGCCTAGCGATGCTCAGTACTGTGAGGTTGGGGAGCAACTCACAGTACTGCAAGGTTGGGGAGTGTGGGAATCTTGACAGCGAAATCCTCTAGGCGCGACTTGAAGAGGTTTGACTTGAGCGAGCTGCGGGGCACACGGAGTGGGAAGGCGAGGGGAAGGAACGGTTGAAAGGTGGAGAGATAAGAAGGGGCTAAGGGGAGATGCAACAGGTCAAACCGTGCAGGTTCCGTCAGGAAGATGCAATGTGTACAAACTTTCTATGGGCGCACACTCACATCATATGGGTCGGTGCTTCCATGAACACAAGAGCTTACATGAATGTGAGGGCCGTCAGCTTAGTGATGTCACCATGCAGAATGCCAAACAGTTTCTGACTGTCTAGGGTGCTGTAGGGAAGGCAGCAGGAAAAAGGGAGTGGAGGAGGTTGAGAACAGATGCGAATAAGAAATGACGGAAAACAGGTAGGTGCAATGCAGGTACAATGAATGCTTCACTGCCTGTAGTCCTGACTCTGCACTCATGCATTCACATCTTGACAGGTTGACAACAGCACTCACACCTTGATGGGTTGACAGCAGCACTCACATCTTGACAGGGTTGCCCAGAGCGTTGCACTCGACGCCCGTGAAGCCGCCCGCACCCGTGCTGCCTACAGAGGTGCACGTGGCTCCGGCCGCCCAGTTGGTGTACGTCACTCCCAGGGCCGACTTGATGTTCAGCAGCGCAGTTGCTGGAGGGAGGGGGGGGAGAGGGGGGTGCAGTCACGGACACATGGGCAGCAGTGGTGTGAGCCATGGGAATGCATGTGGGCAGCATCAATATGAGCCATGGGCATGCACATGGGAAGCATTGAGACACCATTCTCGAAGCATCTTGCAGGAAGTGATTGCAACACATGTCTGCATGCAACAGCACTTCAACTCCACTGTGACACAGTGGTACCTGCTGCGGCGTCAGTGGCGACCGGCGGAGGGGGAGGGCACATGAGGGCGAGCGCGGGGGTGGTGGTCGTGGGGATGGCAGTGGCGGCATTCACAGCCGCAGGGTCGGGCTGGCAGATGGCCGTGCCGCCGCACAGAGTGCCCCGGCCGTCCGCACTGCCGCAGATAGCGCAGGAGGGGCGCTGGGTGACGCCCTGTCCGTTGTTGGCGTTGCACTTGGTGGGGTCGGTGAAGCAGTTGGCGCGCGCCGTGCACAAGGTCCACGTGGCAGTGGGGAAGGTGCCGACCAAGTAGTTGTTTTCCAGGTTCAGCGACTTCACCGTCGCGCCCAGTGCCGGCACCGTGCCCGTCAGGTAGTTCCACCCCAGGCTCCTGAGCGCACGCATGGAGGGGATGCAGGGAGGAAGCATGGGACGAGTTAGGAGCAGAGAGAAGCACTGGGTGGGGAGGAATGGCGCATGATGTGCCATGGCGTGGCATGGCATGGCGTGGCATGGCGTGGCGTGGCATGGCATGGCATGGCGTGGCATGGCGTGGCGTGGCATGGCGTGGCATGGCGTGGCATGGCGTGGCATGGCATGGCATGGCATGGCGTGGCATGGCATGGCATGGCGTGGCATGGCGTGGCGTGGCATGGCGTGGCGTGGCATGGCGTGGCGTGGCATGGCGTGGCATCGCGTGGCGTGGCATGGCGTGGCATCGCGTGGCATGGCATGGTGTGGCATGGCATTGCGTGGCATGGCATTGCGTGGCATGGCATGGCATGGCGTGGCAGGAGTGGCAGTGGGCTTACAGCATGAAGAGGCTCTTGATGGCCGTGACAGTGGAGGGGATGGGGCCGGAGAAGAAGTTGTACTGCAGCACTCTGTGCAATGGGAGGAGAGAGGGCGGGATGGCTCCTCTCAAACAGCAGGTGAGGGACGAGGACACAGCGAAGGGCAACGAGAGTGGCTAAGGTACTACGAGAGGGAATTTCAGGAAAAACAGGAAGACAAGAGGGAGGGGGAGAGAGGTGCGTACAGGTACTGCAAGTTGGTGAGGGCGGAGAGGGGCGAGAAGTAGGGGTCGAGGAGGCCGGAGAGGAAGTTGGACGAGACATCGCTGGAAGGGGGACGTGCGGGGGGCGTGGGAAAGAGGGGAATGGGAGGATGACACATGAGTGGATGCCAGAGGGAGTGGTGAGTGGATGGCAGAGGAAGTGATGAGTGGATGGAAGAGAGAGTGGTGAGTGGATGGCAGAGGGAGTGATGAGTGGATGGCAGAGGGAGTGATGAGTGGATTGCAGAGGGAGTGATGAGTGGATGGCAGAGGGAGTGATGAGTGGGTGGCAGAGGGAGTGATGAGTGGATGGCAGAGGGAGTGATGAGTGGATGGCAGAGGGAGTGATGAGTCCGTTTGTAAGGCGAAGTCCCATGTAGAGCAACGAGGTGTGGGGAAGGCGATAGGGGTGCACTGACAGTGCGGTGAGCGCGGTGAGCTTGGAGATGTCAGGGTGCATGGTGCCGCGCATGCCGCGCTGCTTAAGGTACAAGTCCACTACGGCGCCCCCTGCATTGCAGTACACGGCGCCCATCTCCCCAGGGCCCTTAGTGACGCCCGTCACCGTGCACATGGTCGCCGTCCCCCACTCCGCATGTGGCACCCCCAGCGCCGTCTTCAGGTTCGCAAGAACCGGCACTGCGGGTACACAGGCCAACGGGGTTTGGGGGGGGGGAGGAGCGCAATGGTGTGATGGAGAAGGAGCAGGAGGGGATTAGGTTAGGAAGGGGGAGAAGCGAGACAGCAGAGTGCGCGGCAAGTATGGCAAGTGTGGCAGGGAGCAGGGATGCAAGCTGGAGAGTGGGCACAGAGAGGAGGCAAGGGACGCACGGGCAGCAGGGTCGATCCTGACGCCAGTGCACATGAGCGGCAGCACAGCAGCAGAGGCGCTGTTGGGCATCTTGGAGGCGAGTGGAGCGGAGGTGTTGGGCGCACACACGCCTCCCCCGCACAGCAGTGTGGATGCGTTGGCGTAGCCGCAGATGGCGCACGCAGCAGCGGCGCGCTGCGCAGACGACCCCGAGCTGACACACTTGGATGCATCCACGAGGCAGTTGCTGCGCGCGTCGCACATGGTGGTGGAAGATGCCGGGAAGGAGCCCCCCAGGAAGTTGGATGCCACGTTGACAGACTTGAGGGCCACCGCTGGGGCGCCGGTGATGGTGCCGGTGAGGTAGTTAAACTGCAGGTTGCTGCAGTGCAGGTGACAGAGGGACCAAGGGGTGGGGATTTGGGGGTGGGGGGGGAGTAACGACTGGTGAGAGGCACGTGTATGGGGCGGCTGGAGAGGGTGGGCTGTGGGTGGGGTGAGAGAGAGAGTAAACATAACGAGCAGCAGTTGTGTTCAAGTGAAGTGATGCCAGGGTGAGTGTGCCATGACAGACTCTGTTGTGTGTTCCTGTTGGGGAGGGGGGTGTCTGTAAGTATGTGTGACTTACAGCGTTGTGAGGGAGGACAGTGCAAGGAGGTAGGATGGCAGAAGTCCGGAGAACCAGTTGTAGTTGAGCGCCCTGCATAGGGATGAGGATGGGGTGGAGGGAAGGGGACGGTTAGAAAGGAAGGGGGAGAGAAGGTAAAGAAGCAGGGGGAGAGGGGGAGTTGTGTGGGCAGTGTTTGAAGAAGCAGCAAGGTGGGAGAAAGCAGCATGGTGGGAGAAAGCAGCATGGTGGGAGAAAGCAGCATGGTGGGAGAAAGCAGCATGGTGGGAGAAAGCAGCATGGTGGGAGCAAGCGGCATATTGGTGCAATCAAGGCATGAAGGCGAGGAGGCATGGGGGAAAGGAGGGATGGATGCGCATGCATCCATGCGACGTGCAGGCGGGCACTGACAGATGCTTGAGGGCCTTGAGCGTGGTGAGCACCGAGGCCCACTCGCCCAGCCGCGCCTCCAGCAGGTTTGACTCCAGGTTGCTGTGAGCAAGGGGGGGATGGGGAGGGGAGAGGGCGAAGGATGGGTGATTAAAATGGCATGCACTTTGCACTCATATGAGTGGGGAGGCGCATTGTGCATGAGGAGCAATAGAGCAGGCTCTTAGACTGTGATGGTGATACTTCTGCGCTTGATGCACGGGTGTGGTTGGGGGCGCTCATAGCACGCTAGGCTCACATCCTGGTGATGGCAGAGAGCTTGGAGACATCAGCAGGCAGACTCCCGCGCAGACCCATGCTGGGCAGGTCCCTGGGGTGAAGTTACCAGCCACCATGCCACCATGCATCCACAAGGACACATGGATAGAAAAAATGGGTCACAAGGAGAGAGGGTCAAGCGCAGAAGCAAGATGAGAGTCCAGAGCAAGGGGTCAAAAGCAGTGGCGTCCTCTCCCTGAAAACAAGCACGTGATGACGAGAAAACCTGAATTCTCCACAATTTCGCATCTTCCCTTACCACTCCACCTCCCAGCGCATCCCTTGCACTCCATGCACACAGGCATGGCTGACACTCAGCACTTACAGGCATGGCTGGCAAGCAGCACTCACATGCATGGCTGGCAAGCAGCACTCACATGCATGGCTGGCACATGGCACTCACAGACATGGCTGGCACGTGGCACTCACAGGCATGGCTGGCATGTGGAACTCACAGGCTGACAACTTGGCCGGAGAGATCACAAGCGACGCCCACCCAGCTGCCGGGCACGGGCGGGTTGCCCGCCACATTGCAGGGCGAGTCCACCAGCCAGCTGCTCTGTGCCACACCCAGCGCCGCCTTCAGCACCAGCAGTGCTTGAGCTGCGTCAGGGGGGGAGGGGGGGGGGGGTGGGGGTGGGGGGGGAGAGGAGAGAGCAGGCATGGCACACACTTTGGTGCAGCTCTACACATGTATGTACGTGTGGTGCATGCATGTGCAAGTAATGCATGTATGTGCAGGTGAGTTAGGCCAGCATGGCCCCCTGGCTCACCAGCAGTGGCATCGATGGTGGCCGGCCGGCAATAGAAGGGCTGGATGGGAGCAGCGTAGTCATTGAGAGAGCCGGCAGCCAGGGGGACCGACGCGTTGAGGACGCAGGCAGCGCCGTTGCAGAGGGGGGGGACAGCGGCGGCGGTGGTGCAGATGTTGCAGCCCGTGGCGCGCTGGGCCACGCCGTCGGCATTTATGCAGGAGCCAACGGAGGCAAAGCAGTTGTTGCGCACATCGCAGAACTGGAAGGCCTGCGCTGGGAAGGAGCCCGCGAGGAAGTTGTGGTTGACTGCCAGGTACTTGATCTTCGTGGAAATGGCTGGCAGCGTCCCTGTCAAGTAGTTGACATCCAGGTGCCTGCACGCAGGGAAAGGAAGATGGATGCATGTGAGAGTGAGAGAGTAGGCGTGCGAGTGAGAGTGGGAGATAGATATATGGAGAAGTACATGGCAGTAGAATGCTGGAACTCAGCTATGCATGGGGAATGGCGCTGGCATGGGCACAGTCAACGACATGGGCATGGCATGGGCATGGCATGGCAATGGGCACGAGGAACTGACATTTCTGTGAGGGAAGCCATGTTGAGGAGAGTGGATGGCACGCTGTCGTAGAGGTAGTTGAAGTTGAGGTTCCTGCCAGGTTGCAGCAAGAGGGGAAGGGGGTCGGTGGGATGAGGTGAAGTGCGGTGACAAGGAGTGCAGTGAACATGTAAGGAACTTGTGAGGCATCTCAAGAAAGGCTGGTGATAGGCTTACAGGGTGGGATGGCTTACAGGACAGCGAGGGCAGTGAGAGGTGTGATATTGGAGACGAAGGAGGAGAGGCCGCCAGACAGCAGGTTATAACCCAGGTGGCTGCAGGGGAGAGAGAACGGGGGGGGGTCAATGAGCAGCGGACGGAGGAGACATGTGCCGAGATACTTTCGGGCACAATATGAGCATAGGGGCGAGTGGAAATGGAAAGAAGGATGGTTCCACGCAGGTGAGGCACATACAGATAGGTGACCCCAGTGAGCTTGGTCATGTCGGCGTGGATGGTGCCCCACAGCTTCATGTTGTTCAGCATGCTGCCAGCGCAGCAGGGCGTCATGCAGGAGGGTGGGCCGAGGGACGGACGGGGGAGTCAGGGTTTAGTGAAGAATGCGGGAAGAAACACGAGCGATTAAGAGGGGGGGGGAGGGGGGAGGGAGCGAGGAACATATAGTTTGGGTTTTGGAATTTGGGAAGGTACAGGCTAAAATCCGAAACCCTGAGCTGTCAAGCAGGGCAGGCAATGGCCCTCAACGCCAAGGTGAAGAATGCCTTGGGCGCAGAGGACGAGCCAGCGGTGACCTTGGTGGAGACCCTACCGATTTCCTGCTTGTTGCAGTTGTTAGAATCGGGGCTGCATCCCCCCTAGGCGACTCTTGCGGCAAGAGGGAGGGAGGGGGAAGAAGCCTCACAGGGATACGACAACGCCGGTGCCGCTGCACCAGACGCCCGGCCACGATTTGGGGGCGGAGCTCTGCCCCAGGATGTTGCAGGTGCTACTGGCGCTCCAGTCCGTGTGCGTCACACCCAGCGCCGACCCGATGTTGAGCAGAGCGGATGCTGCCAGAGGGGGCGCACATGGGGGAGGGGCCACACGGCGAGATGGCTGGGCAGCACAGGCTTACAGAGAAGCTGTGGAATGACAGTGCAGGCATGGCATGGTGCTATATGTGGCTACAGCAAGCAGCGCACAGGCAGGGGGCCACTCACAGGAGACAGCATCGAGGGGCATGCCAAGGCACTTGAGGGCCAGGGTGGGCGCCGTGGCGCTGTTGGGCACTTGGGACGCCATGTAGGCCGAGGGGTCGGGCGTGCACACAGCCCCGCCGCACAGTGGCAGCTGCCCGTTAGCCGACCCGCACACGTTGCACCCTGTGTCCCTCTGTGCGCTGCCGTCCAGGCTGAAGCAGGCGGCAGCGTCGAGGAAGCAGTTGCTGCGGGAGCTGCAGTAGGCGAGCGTGGCTGCGGGGAAGGTGCCCGAGAGGAAGTTGAACTCCATGCCCAGGGCCTTGATGGCCGCGCCCGGCTTGGGCAACACGCCTGTCAGATAATTGTTGCTGATCAGCCTGGGGAGGGACACACGCACACGACACACAGGCGGAAGCACAAGCAACAACAACAAGTGCTTAGAGGGGGAACTCAAGAAGAATCGAATGAAGGGTAGAGCGAAAGAGTGAGGAAAGCAGAGGGAGTGGAGTGGAGGAAGGTGTGGCACGAGGGCGTTTCAACTTACAGGACGGAGAGGGCTGGCATGTTGAGGAGCGTGGCCGGGACCGTGCCATAGAACCAGTTGAAGTTGATGTAGCTGGTGGGGGGAGACAAAACATGCACACAAAACCACACACACACTCACACAAACATCCAAACAAACCCACGTACACACAACAATCCACACAATACCACACACACACAGACATGCACACAAAACCACACAACAGAAAACCTCAAACAAAACCACACACACACAAACGAACATGCACACAACCTCACACAAAACCACACACAGACATGATGAAGACGCACACACACAGAGAAAGGAGGTGAAGACACAATGTGGTGGGCAGGAGAGCAAGGAAGAACGATGCATAGGAGCATGAGAGCAGAAAGAGCGGAGAGGAGGGCAGAGACAATGGAAGAGAGGGTGGATGGAGGCGACGGAGGGGGAGGGGAGGAGGTGGAGGCGGATTGGCACTGACAGCTCCTTGAGGCTGGCAGTGGGCGTGAGCGGCACAACATAGGAGTCGAGGCGGTTGAAGAAGAGGTTGGATGTCAGGTACCTGCGCAGGGAGGAGGGTGATTGGGGGGGTGGATTGGGGGAATGAGGGGGGCAACAAGGGAACGGAAGGGGAATGAGGGGGGCAGCACGGGAACGGAAGGGGAATGAGGGGGGCAACACGGGAACGGAAGGGGAATGAGGGGGGCAACACGGGAATGGAAGGGGAATGAGGGGGGCAACACGGGAACGGAAGGGGAATGAGGGGGGCAACACGGGAACGGAAGGGGAATGAGAATGGTTTGCGAAAGATTGTGCGTAGATTGCCATGTTCTGGGTGTGATGCTGACAAGTGCCTGGTGACAGCAGCACAGCCTGGTGGCAGAGGACGTGAGCCTCACAACCCGCTTCATCCCAAGGCAGATGGGGCAGATGGTGAGTGACTGGATGCAGGGCAGATGGTGAGTGACTAGATGCAGGGCAGATGGTGAGTGACTGGATGCACGGCAGATGGTGAGTGACTAGATGCAGGGCAGATGGTGAGTGACTGGATGCCTCACAGTGAAGCGAGCGTGGACGACTTACAGTGAAGCGAGCGTGGACGGCTTACAGTGAAGCGAGTGTGGACGGCTTACAGTGAAGCGAGCGTGGACGGCTTACAGTGAAGCGACCGTGGACGGCTTACAGTGAAGCGACCGTGGACGGGAAGCAAGCGTGGACGGCTTACAGTGAAGCGAGCGTGGACGGCTTACAGTGAAGCGACCGTGGACGGGAAGCAAGCGTGGACGGCTTACAGTGAAGCGAGCATGGACGGGAAGCAAGCGTGGACGGCTTACAGTGAAGCGAGCGTGGACGGGAAGCAAGTGTGGACAGCTTACAGTGAAGCGAGCGTGGACGGGAAGCAAGCGTGGACGGCTTACAGTGAAGCGAGCGTGGACGATTTACAGTGAAGTGAGCATGGATGGCTTACAGTGAATTGAGCATGGACGGCTTACAGTGAAGTGAGCGTGCTGAGCTTGCTGATGTCGGAGTGCACTGTGCCACTCAGCAGTCTGCTCCGCAGATCACTGCACACCAGGGATTAGGGCAGCACCCAGGGCACAGGGGGGCAGGGGAGACAGGTGAGTGAGAGGCTTGAGCAATGGGTCGGTTCGGGTCGGGTAACCCGACCCGAACCCGAATTTTGGACGGGTCGGGTTGACATTTGCGGAGGGTCGACCCGACCCTCGGGAAACCGACCTGACCTGACCCGACCCGACCCGACCAACAATACCCGACCAGTCTGGTCGGCTTATTACCCGTCCCTGCCCCTATGCCAACCCGACCCGACCCGACCCGAGTCGGGTCAGGTAGTACCCGACCTATTAAACCCGGGTCGGGTTGACATTTCCTGAACTCCGACCCGACTTGACCCGACCCGACCCGAACCCTAGATCGGGTAGGGCAAAGTCGGGTCGGGTCGGGTCGGGTTCATGCTCAAGCCTAGTGAGAGGTGACAGGGAGAAGGGCACACAAGGCATGAGGCAAAGGGGACTGCTGGGAGAAGGGGCAGTGGGGAGGGGAGCAGCGCCACTCACAGGCTGACAACAAGTCCGGCAGGAGAGCAGCGCACGCCGGTCCAGGAGCCGGCAATGGGCGTCTGGCCCTGGATGGTGCACGACCCCACCGACGCCCACGAATAGAACATCCCCGACCCCCGTGCCAGCATGCGCCGCTGCTTCGACCCCGCCTTGGGCTTGGTGGGGGAGGCCTTGGGGGTGGCGAGGGTGGCGGCGGTCCAGTCAGTGAAAGTGACACCAAGGGCGGTCTTGAGGGCCAGCAGCACGTTGCCCTGCGTGGCGTCCAGCCCCACGCCCACACAGAAGCGCGGCAGGATGGGGGAAACCGCAGTGTTGGGCGAGCTGTTGGAAAGAGGAAGAGATGTGTCGGGCGCACAGATGCCGCCGCCACAGATGGTGCCCGTGCCGTCGATGGAGTTGCAGACCGCACAGGCGGACGCAGCACGCTGAGCAAGGCTGGTGGCTTGGACGCATCCGCCCATGTTGGTGAAGCAGTTGGCAAACGCATTGCAGGACACGAAGCCAGAGCCAGGGAACGTGCCAGAGAGCCAGTTGCCCTGCACATTGAGGCTCTTGAGGGCCGCACCAGGGGTGGGCATGGCGCCGTACAGATAGTTGTAGCTCGCGCCCCTGAGGAACGGGTGGGGGAGGGGGAGGAAGTGAGGACGAGAGAGTAAGTGGGAGAGCGTGTGAGTGGAAGAAAGGTTAAGTTGTTTGGAGGCACGAGCAACAGAGGCACAAGCCATTAATATACCACTGGCAGGGCACAGAGGCTACCCCCTGAGGCTAGGATCCTTGGAGGGTGGTGATACGAGAGTTGGGTGGGACTCACAGGCAGGGAAAACTTACAGCTTGGAGAGGGTGGCAATGGCAACAAGGGAAGAAGGGATGGGCCCTGTGAACCAGTTGAAGTCAAAGAAGCTGCAAGAGGGAGGGGAGTGGGAGTAAGGGGAGCACAGGGAGGGGGGAGGAGAAGCATATTATCAATGTAGCATGAGTTGACATGACAAGTTGTCAAGACACGACTGTTGTGGCAGAAATGATTGAGGCGAGACCACGTGCTGCTCTCACAGCGCTGCCACTCACGCTTCTTTGAGCGAGGTGAGGGCCTTGAAGTTGGCTGCAAACACATCAAAACGACCCTCCAATAAGTTGGAATTGAAGTCACTGCCAGAGTTTACCAGGGCACACCAGCGCAAGGGTAGGGGAGAGAGGCACTAGAGAAATCAGATATTGCCTCGTGATGAGGGAATGCATCATTGGAGCGAGGGGATGTGGGTAAGGCGGTGGGTGTGGAGACGCGTGCTCTGAGCAGGCAGATTCGGAAGGAGTGTCATGAGGAGAGCAGTGAGCAAAAAGAGGAGAGTGAGAGAAAGGGGATAGGGGAGGATATCGAAGTGTGCAGAAGTGGTGAGGATGGGAATGGGAGTGAGGATGATGCTTCCATATATGTGATGCTCACATGTATGTGCTGCGCACATGTATGCGATGCTTACATGTTTGTGAGGGACGTGAGCTTGGCAATGTCCGAGTGCATCGTCCCTGTCAGCCTCTGGCCCCCCAGGGACCTGCACTCCGCCAACAGCCACGCAGCCAGACACACATGCACGCACAGCCACACACAGACACACATGCACACGCGCAGACACACATGCACGCACAGCCACACACACAGACACACATGCACACGCGCAGACACACATGCACGCATAACCACACACACAGACACACATGCACGCACAGCCACACACGCAGACCCACATGCACACACGCAGACACACATGCACACACGCAGACACACATGCACACACCGCCACGCACACGCTTCTTCAGTTGTTTTCCGAAAGAAGAAAATTTGACACGAATACATAAGGCACTCACATTTCTGTGAGGTGTAAGGGTGCTCTCAGCACCGTGACTTGCAAGGGTGCTCTCACAGCTGCACGACCAGGAGCCACTCACAGCTGCACGACCAGGAGCCACTCACAGCTGCACGACCAGGAGCCACTCACAGCTGCACGACCAGGAGCCACTCACAGCTGCACGACCAGGAGCCACTCACAGCTGCACGACCAGGAGCCACTCACAGCTGCACGACCAGGAGCCACTCACAGCTGCACGACCAGGAGGCACTCACAGCTGCACGACCAGGAGCCACTCACAGCTGCACGACCAGGAGGCACTCACAGCTGCACGACCAGGAGCCACTCACAGCTGCACGACCAGGAGGCACTCACAGCTGCACGACTTTGCCGGTGACGTTGCAGATGACGTTGCTCCACGTGCCTGGCATCGGCGGGAGCCCCTGGATGGTGCATGGCGTGTCCAGCGCCCAGTCCGTGAACGTCACTCCAAGCGACGCCTTCATGTTCAGCAGCGCCGCAGCTGGGTTGGGGGAGAGGGGGCGTAGGGGGGGGTGCATGGAGGGGGGAGGGGGGTCGGATGCAACAAGCGTGGTTGACAATGAGGGAGCAGCATGGTTCGGCCAATTTACTAGTGCTGAATTTTCATCTCAGGCAACCCTGCCTGTCATCCCGAGGATACGAACCCCACGTGCACCCCGCGCCACCGCACTCACCCATGGCGGGATCCATGGCGGCGCCCAGGCAGTACATAGACGCCGTGCCCTCATTCAGCATGCCAGCTGCCACGGCAGCTGTTGCATTGGGCGCGCAGATGCCGCCGCTACACAACCTGCCAGTGCCGTTGGAGGTTTCGCAGATGGCGCACGCTGGTGAGGGGCGCTGCACCGTGCCATAGGCGCACTTGGAGGGGTCCTGGAAGCAATTGGTGGCGCAGTTGATGAAGGTGGCGCTGATGGTGGGGAACGTGCCGACCAGGTAGTTGCTGGATGCGTCTATGCTCTTGAGGCTTGCCGGCAGCGCGGCAGGCAGGCTGCCGGTCAGGTAGTTCAATTGCACTTTCCTGCATGACGACAAGCAGCCCCAGGAGATGACATGGATTGGGGCGTGCAGGAGAGGGGGAAGAGAGCAGCGGTGGGTAGGGTGGAAGAGGGAAAGGGGGGGGGGGGGAGATGGGGAAAGGAGAAAGGAGTTAGCAAGAGAAAAAATCGAATCAATGGTGATGTGAACTGGGCATCAGCCGTGCACGGCTCACGAAGGGGACGAATTCGCCTCTAGGAGAGTGAGCCACAAGGAAGGCAAGAGAGGGCCACAAGGAAGGCAGGAGCAGGCCACAAGGAAGGCAAGAGAGGGCCACAAGGAAGGCAGGAGCAGGCCACAAGGAAGGCAAGAGCTTACAGTTCAGTGAGGGCGGAGAGAGCAGAGAAGGTTGATGGGAAGGAGCCCGAAAAATAGTTGTTGTTGAAGCGCCTGCAGGGCGTGGCACGCAGCAGACAAGGGGAGCTGAAGTGAGTGAAGCGCGACAGGCAGCAGCACAAGAATGTGGAGGCGACCTGAGATGAAGAAGCTGCAGAGACGAGCTTCCAGTAAACCCACGGGGGCGAGAGAGTTGACGTTGGGGCTGGCAGGGCAGCTTACAGGACGTTGAGGGCCTTGAGGGGAAGGAACGGGGCGAGGAAGGCGTCAAGGCGGCCGGAGAAGAGGTTGCCTGACAAGTCACTGTAGCAAGGCAGAGGGGAAAGATGCGCATGGGGTCACATGCCATGGCATACGATGACATTCATTAGTATAAGCTGAAAACGTGATACGCATGCAATGGCCTGTGATGAAAGGTTTAAGGCTCACAGCCTTGTGACCATGGAGAGCTTACAACTTGGTGAGTGTGGCGAGCTTTGAAACGTCGGAGGGGATGGAACCCGTGGCCTGTATGTAGGCAAAATTGCTGTAACACACACAACGCATGGCACATGGCACAGGCATGAGTCGTATTCAAGCATAACAGTGCCATGGATCCATGATGAACATGCACGAATGATGGCAATCTGCATGGCACAAACATGAACACAGGATGGTGCTAAAAACATGGGTCACAGTTGATGACACACAGGGGACTTGGCAGAACGGGACAGTGGGTTAATATTACATCACATCAAGAGGTGAACGGGTGCACACATGAAGGGGCCAGCAGGGGCCAACAGGAGCGACGTACATTTCAAGGACCTGCCCGACAACGTTGCAGTAGACCAGGGGGAAGGAGCCTGGGACAGTGGTCTGCCCCACCAGCGTGCACGTGGTCTGAGAGCTCCACAAGCCTGGCGAAATGGCCGCCAGCGCAGGCGCTGGGAAGGGATGGGTGGGGAGGAGAGGATTGGGCTTGAGGGTGCGAGTCATGCTTGAGGGTGTATTCATCCTCCCGAGGGGAGTCAGACGGGTCATCTTTGTAGGGATGGGGGAGAAAAGGGAGCAGCCAGCGCGGGTCACATTGGAAGGGAGGATCTTCTTCCGGAGCCCCTTGAGCTGCTAGCACAGGTGCAAGGACAGGAGCTAGGACAGGTGCTAGGACAGGTGCTAGGACATGGGCTAGGACAGGAGCTAGGACAGGTGCTAGGACAGGTGCAAGGACAGGAGCTAGGACAGGAGCTAGGACAGGTGCTAGGACAGGTGCTAGGACAGGTGCTAGGGCAGGTGCTAGGACAGGTGCTAGGACAGGTGCTAGGACAGGTGCTAGGACAGGTGCTAGGACAGGTGCAAGGACAGGAGCTAGGACAGGAGCTAGGACAGGTGCTAGGACAGGTGCTAGGACAGGTGCTAGGACAGGTGCTGGGACAGGTGCTAGGACAGGTGCTAGGACAGGTGCTAGGACAGGTGCTAGCCAATCGCTGGCATACCATGTGTGGCGTCGATGCGGACGGGATCGCAGCGCAGGAAGGGAACGGGATTCCAGATGTTGACCGCCGTGATGGGTGAGGGGGTGGCGGGCACGCAAGGATTGCCCTGGCATGCGGTGCCCAGGGCGTTGGTTGTGCCGCAGAACTGGCAGCCGACGGAGGGGATGGGGTTGTTTGGGCTGAGGGAGCTGCAGGAGGTGTAGTTGGAGATGCAGTTGTAGTAGGCAGTGCAGTACGTGAGGGTGTTGGCGGGGAAGGTGCCTCCGAAGTAGTTCTGGTCCGCCAGCAGGCGCTTTAACACTGTGGAGGTGATGGCGGGGAATGTGCCCATGAGAACGTTCATGTTCACCTCGCTGCAGGCACAAGAGAAGGAAGGAGAGGGGGGGGGGGAAGGGAGAGCAGAGCGATGGGAAGGGAAGATGAAAGGGGGGGGGGGGAGGGCAGAGCGGTTCAAAGGGAAGAGGAGCAAACAGGAAGGGAGAGCAGGGAGGAGCAAGGGGGAAGGGAAATGGACAAGGGAAATGGGACACACAAGGACAGGGTGTGGGGGCACATACAATACGGCCACAAGGAGTAAGAAGCAGCGAGCAAGGCGGAGTGGTAAAAAGCGAGGGGCAAGCGGTGCAAAGAGAGGGGATGGGCAAAAGGCACGGGGCTAGGGGGTGCCAGAGTTGATGAGGTTGGCGAGGGCAGGGAAGGCAGGGAGGGCTCGGTCAGGCACTGACAGGTTGGTGAGCTTGGCGAAGGAGACGAACCACGAGGGCAGTGAGCCGTACAGATAGTTGCTATTGAGACGGCTGCACTCAGGGAGGGGTTGAGGGAGAAGGGGGCAGGGAGGAGTGGAGGCGACAGGGACAAGGATGAATGGAGAGAGAAGGGGACAAGGATGCCTGGAGGGACAAACGGGGTGAGTGTAGGGAGAAGTGGATAGGGATGGGTTGTGGTTAAAGGCACTAACAGTGATTGCAGAGTGGTGAGCAGCTTAAGGGACACGCCCCAAGTGTCGATTTGCGCTCTGAAGAAGTTGGAACTCAGATCCCTGCGGGCGGGCAGGAAAAATGCCATGGGGAAGACATGGGGGCAGGTAGGGCATGGGCGTGGGGAGGGCATGAGCTTGGGGAGGAAATGGGCGTGGGGAGGGCATGGGCGTGGTGAGAGCATGAGCGCAGGGAGAAGGAAGGGGCATTGAAGCCCGAAGCACAAAGCATGGGGGGCCCCCACAACACAAGGCAGCATGTGGGCAGCACTCACAGCACAAGGCAGCATGTGGGCAGCACTCACAGCACAAGGCAGCATGTTGGCAACACTCACAGCACAAGGCAGCATGTGGGCAGCACTCACAGCACAAGGCAGCATGTGGGCAGCCCTCACAGCACAAGGCAGCATGTGGGCAGCACTCACAGCACAAGGCAGCATGTGGGCAGCACTCACAGCACAAGGCAGCATGTGGGCAGCACTCACAGCACAAGGCAGCATGTGGGCAGCACTCACAGCACAAGGCAGCATGTGGGAAGCACTCACAACACAAGGCAGCATGTGGGCAGCACTCACAGCACAAGGCAGCATGTGGGCAGCACTCACAGCACAAGGCAGCATGTTGGCAACACTCACAGCACAAGGCAGCATGTGGGCAGCACTCACAGCACAAGGCAGCATGTGGGCAGCCCTCACAGCACAAGGCAGCATGTGGGCAGCACTCACAGCACAAGGCAGCATGTGGGCAGCCCTCACAGCACAAGGCAGCATGTGGGCAGCACTCACAGCGAGGTGAGAAGGGAGAGCTTGCTGAGATCAGAATGGAGTGAACCGCCTAGCTTCTGACTGGACAAATTCCTGGAAGCGTGGGGTGGGGGGGAAGAGTATGGTGGGAGGGCTGACTAGGTGCTGCCATGGTTGACTCGCTGCTGGCACACGCAGCGTGAAAAGCAGGGTGTTAGCCCATGCAGCGAAGCGGCAGGAAGTACAGGAGAAAAGCGGAAGGCGAATGTGGGAGGGCACTGACAGGCTGACGGGCTGCCCGAGGGAGTTGCAGAAGACGCCGGACCAGGAGCCAGCGACGGGGGCCTGCCCCTCAACAGTGCAGTAGCCACCGGTGGTCATCCAGTCTGTCAGCGCCACGCTGCCGCTGCCCACTGCCGCCTTGGGCTTCAGCAGTGCCGTGGGGGCCACCCAGTCTGTGAACGTCACTCCCAGCGCCGTCTTAATGTTGCCCAGCGCAGCGGCTGAGGGGGGCAGAGTGAGGGAGGAGCGCGTCAGTGTGGGAAGTTGTAGAGAGGGAGATATGGCAAGAGGAACGTAGAGAGAGAGAGTGGAGAAAGCGAAGTGTAAGAGGGTAAGAACAAGACATGAATGACAGGGGATGAAGCATGGGGTGGGGTATGCATATGTGATCAGCATGGTGCGTGCATGCACATGGGAGCAGAATGGTGAATGCTGATGGCATGGAGAATGGCGCATGATCATGGCATGCGGAATGGTGCATAATAGTAGCATGGAGAATGGCACATGCACAGGGCGGGAGCTGGTCACCTGCGGTGGTGTCAATGATGGTGCCGGTGCAGTACATGGGCAGGGCGGGCGACGACACCGTGGGGGGCGAGTTGCTCGCCACAGGCACTGTGGCGTTGGGCACGCATAGCCCGCCACTGCACAGAGTGCCCTGGCCACTCGTGCTGCCACAGATGTTGCACCCAAGGCGGTTGGCAGTACCGCTGGCAGTGCAGCTGCCCTGGGAGAGTAGGCAGTTGAGCTGTGCAGAGCACAAGACGCTGGTGAGCGTGCCGATGCTGCCCGAAAAGAAGTTGCCCGCCAGGTTAAGTGTCTTGAGCGCTGTGCCTAATGCGGGCACCGACCCCGTCATGTAGTTGTAGCTCACATCGCTGGTGGGGCGGGGCAGCAGTGAACGGGCAAGAAGATAGACAAGGTAAGATAGTGAGGGAGCGTGGGGCAGGCTGGTGCATGTCGTAGAGCATTATGGTGCAAAATGAATACACGCTGCAAGAGGGGACCAGAAGGTATAAGTCAGCGGTTACTAAGCGCTGCGAGATGAGAAGGCGTTGAGGTGTGAAGGTATTGAGGGGTCCAAGGGTATTGAGAGGTTACATGGTGCTGAGTGTCGGAAGAGTAACGAGGGTGGAGGGTAGCACGCCAGAGAACCAGTTCAAACGCACATTGCTGCAGGTGGGCAGGGGGGGGAGATGAGGGAGGCAGGGTGGGCAGGGCCATAGGCAGAGCAGAAGTGAGGGCAAATAAGCAACCAAAGCAGTAGAGAGTACCAAGATAAAAGCAGTTAAATTTGCAGCAGGTCAAAGGCAGAAGAGTGAGGCATATGCCACAGGGGCGGGCAGGAGGCGAGCAGAAGGAACTGACAGTAGCTTGAGCGCTGAGAGCCCCTTGAAGCCAGAGGTGAAGAGCGCCAGGCGCCCCTGCAGCAGGTTGCCCTCCAGAATGCTGCAGGCCAGGGAAGGAGAGGGGGGAGGCAGGGTGGGGGAGGGGGAAGGAGAGGGGGGAGGCGGGGTGGGGGAGGGGGAAGGAGAGGGGGGAGGCGGGGTGGGGGAGGGGGAAGGAGAGGGGGGAGGCGGGGTGGAGAAGAGGGAAAAGGAGAGGGGATGAAGGGATGAGGGGGCGCCCATAAGCCCAAAGCAGCACGCAAGGAAGGTGGAGGTGCAGTCATGACTCACAAGAGGCAAGGTGCATTTGGGAGCTTACAGCGAGGTGAGCGTGGTGAGCTTGGAGATGTCAGCATGCATGCTGCCCCTCAACAGCTGAGCCTTGAGGTCGCTGCAGCGAAGCACGGGCAGCAGAAAAGGAAACGGGGCAAGAGGGGGACAGTGGGACTGGATGGAGGGCACGGACGATTGAGGCGTCTTGAGGCAGTCAGACAGCTTCAGGTAGTGCAGAGAGCTTCACGCCATGATGACTACTCATATGCTCGTGCCTACGCTTCTCAAATGCTTGTGCCCATGCTACTCACATGCTCGTGACCATGCTACTCACATGCTCGTGCCCATGCTACTCACATGCTTGTGCCCATGCTACTCACATGCTCGTGCCCATGCTACTCACATGCTCGTGCCCATGCTACTCACATGCTCGTGCCCATGCTACTCACATGCTCGTGCCCTGCTACTCACATGCTCGTGCCCTGCTACTCACATGCTCGTGCCCATGCTACTCACATGCTCGTGCCCATGGTACTCACATGCTCGTGACCATGCTACTCATATGCTCATGCCCATGCTACTCACATGCTCGTGCCCTGCTACTCACATGCTCGTGCCCTGCTACTCACATGCTCGTGCCCATGCTACTCACATGCTCGTGCCCTGCTACTCACATGCTCGTGCCCTGCTACTCACATGCTCGTGCCCTGCTACTCACATGCTTGTGACCTTGCCCGCCGTGTCGCACACCACGTTGGACCACGCCCCCGGCACGACAGGCTGCCCGGCAATGGTGCAAGGCGAAGGCGTAGCCCAGTCCGTGAAGGTCACCCCCAGTGACGCCTTGAGGTTGAGCATGGCGTCGCGCATGCTCATCTCGATGGGCCCGCCCTGGCAGAATAGCGGCAGTACTGCCTGCCCCTCAACGTTGGCCGTGCCCGTGCCGGCAAGCTCCGTGGCGTTGGGCGTGCAGAAGCCGCCGCCGCACAGCACGCCGGCAGCATTGGTGGACCCGCAGATGGCGCACTCGGCAATGGCCCTCTGCAGTGTGCCGTTGGCGTTGGCGCACTTGCTGGCGTCCAGAAAGCAGTTGGAGCGCGCGTCGCACGCAGTGAGGGCGGCGGTGGGGAAGGTGCCCGAGAGGAAATTGTTGGCCACGTTGAGCGATTTGACAGCCGTACCGATGGCCGGAACCACGCCTGTCAGATAATTGCGGTTTAGCTTGCTGCGGGTCGAGAGAGGAGGCAGGAGGCAACAGGCAGGGGGAATGGACGAGGGAGGGGGGGGCATAGGCAGAGTTGACTGAGTGACGAGTGGTGAATGTCACACATGGTAGTGCAGCACATGGCCGTGGAGCATGTGGCAGTGCAACACATGGCAGTGGAGCACACGGAATTGGAGCACAGGTTGAGGTGCTTTGTGTGGCATGCGGGGCAGATAAGGGGCCCACACAGAGGGTGGGTGGTGAGGGGCACTCACACGCTGGAGAGAGCTGGGAGGGCGAGGAGGGTGGAGGGGATGGAGTTGGAGAACCAGTTGTACTGCAGTGACCTGCAGGCAGGCAGGGAGGGACATGGGTAGATGAGGGGCATGGGTAGATGTGGGGCATGGGTAGATGAGGGGCATGGGTAGATGAGGGGCATGGGTAGATGAGGGGCAGAAGTAGATGAGGGGCATGGGTAGATGAGGGGCATGGGTAGATGAGGGGCATAAGTAGATGAGGGGCATGGGTAGATGAGGGGCATAAGTAGATGAGGGGCATGGGTAGATGAGGGGCATAAGTAGATGAGGGGCATGGGTAGATGAGGGGCATAAGCAGATGAGGGGCATGGGTAGTTGGCGCATTCATAGTGACATGCACAAACAACGAGCACCCTGAGTGGCTGGAGAGAGCGGAAAGGTGGTTGTAATGCTGACAGCAGCACGTAACGCTGACAGCAGCACATAATGCTGACAGCAGCACGTAATGCTGACAGCAGCACGTAATGCTGACAGCAGCGCATAATGCTGACAGCAGCACGTACAGTGACTTGAGAGCCTTGAGTGCCGTGAAGAGCGAAACGAAGACCTCAAAGCGCTGCTGGAACAGATTGCCGCTCAGATCCCTGCATGCATGCAATCACATGGAATCACAGGCAGACATACAGAGACACACGCACACACATGCATGCATTCACCGTCACATGTCAAATGCATTCACATGCATCATGAGGCATTGTTTCACTGAAGGCATTGGAACAGCAGCTTCACTGGGAGATGTATTGAAGGACAGCATTATGCGATAGGAAGAAATCGAGTGCACATTGAAGATAAACAAGGGCTCACGACAGTGGGGGATGAGATGTGAAGTGGAGGCACTAAGGAGCGTAGACATGAGTGGGCGAGGGCATAAGTGTGTGTGGATAGGAGGCAGACGTACAGCCCAGTGAGAGCAGTGAGCTTGGTGATGTCAGACGAGAAGCTTCCACTCAGCTTTTGGTTTGGCAGCACACTGCAGGTCAACAGAATCAAGCGGGGGGGGGGGGGGCGGGGGGCGGGGGGGGGGGGGGGGGTGGGAAGGAGGGGAAACGAGGGGAAAGGGAGGAGTGGAAAAGTGGGAAAGGGGGAGATGAGTGTATGCAGGGACAAATGGGAGGGAAAGTGTATATTGCGGCAAGCGGTTGGGCAAAGGCAAGACGAGAGTACATGATCGAATGAGCAGGAAACGGCATTTTCAAGAGTGACTGCGGCACATGCGAGGGAGAATAGGGAGAAACACCGTGCATAATCAGGTCAGGGCAGCTGCCTTGCAATCGGCACACCACGAGCTGCACAGCCCTAAAATCAAAGCCCTGAAATCACAGCCTTGTTTGACTCACAGGGCGACGATGGCACCAGTGGGGCTGCAGAAAACGCCAGTCCAAGAGCCGGGTGCAGGAATCTGGCCGTCCACAGTGCAGGCGCCCACAGTGGTGGCCAGGGGCACGCTGCCCCCATTCAGCGCCTTGGGCTTCAGCACCACTGTCGTCGCACTCCAATCTGTCAACGTCACCCCCAGCACCGTCTTCAGCGCCAGCAGCGTCGTGGCTGCAGCGAGAGGGGGAGAGGAGGTGGAATGTGGTGAGGGATGGAGCCATGGCAGGGGTGAGGAGAGGAAGATATGGAGGGGAGGGAGCACAAGCGGAGAATTCACTGTCGGAGCAGCACTCACTGGTGGTGGTGTCCACAGGAACAGGAGCACAGAAAAGGTTGCGAGGGGGAGACGACGCAGTGGGAGGTGTAGTCACTCCGGTGGTGTTGACGAAGCAGGTGACGCCGCCACAGAGGGTGCCCTGGGCGAAGGAGGTGCCGCAAATTGCGCACTCCGCCCCCGAGCGCTGCGAGATGCCGACCGAGGCGCAGTTGGAGCCGTCGGTGAGGCAGTTGGTGGTGCTGGCACAGTAGGTGAGCGCGTTGGTGGGGAAGGCGCCCGCCAGGAAGTTGCCCTGCACGTCCAGCGACTTGGCAGACGCTGGCACGGCGGGTAGGGAGCCCGTGAGGTAGTTGAAGGCCACGGAACTGCACGGGGGGGAGGTCAGGAGAGGGGAAAGCCGTGGCTGGTGAGAGACCCACAAGAGTGTGTGTGTGTGAGAGAGATGGTATTTGAACATTTGAGGGGAGAAGGCGTGTCAGATGGAGGCAGCAGACATCTTCAAAGCAGAGGAGTCGAATGGAATGTGGCAGAAGACATCTTCAAAGCAGAGGAGTCGAATGGAGTGTGGTGGCAGACATCTTCAAAGCAGAGGAGTCAAATGGAGTGTGGTAGCAGACATCTTCAAAACACAGGAGTCGAATGGAGTGTGGCAGCAGACATCTTCAAAGCAGAGGAGTCGAATGGAGTGTGGCAGAGGCAGCAGACAACTTCAAAGCACTCACAGCTTGGAGAGGGTGGTGAGGGCGAGGAGTGTGGAGGGGAACGCGCCAACGAGATAGTTGTACTGCAGAGCACTGCATGAAGGGGAGGCACACACCACCGGTGACAAATGGAGGGGAGAGAAAATACAGGGGATAAGGGGGGTGCGCGGTGGAGGGAGAGTAGTGTAGACTGCAGAGAGTCGTGAATGAAGGCATGATTGGGCGCGTGGATGCCTGCATGCACACAGAGCTGGGGACTCACAGCTCCTTGAGCACGAGGGGCGCCTTGATGCTGGCAGTGAAGGAGTCCACGCGCCCCTGCAGCAGGTTGGACTGCAGGTCACTGCAGGTTGCAGCAATGGGGAGGTAGGTAAAGCAAAGCACAATGCAAAAAAGCACTTCGGTTTGCAGCCAGACACGCAGGGGCAGGAGCAAGCAGCAGGGGGCGAAATTTGGAGCAGCAGACAGCAGGTGCGTGAGAGCGGGAGTACAAGGGCAGAGAGAGCGAGCACTCACAGCGAGGTAAGCGTGGTGAGCTTGGAGATGTCCGAGTGGATGCTTCCAGCCAGATTCTGAGCCTTGAGAATTCTGTATTTGAGACATGGTACCAGGAGGCAGCACACATCACTAGAGAGCAGATACAGATGTTTGAGCCAAGAGCATCAAGTGCTGAACCCCACCCACAAAGCTTCCCGCGACCTCAGGCATGGGCAGCTTCTCCGCGCGCCGGTGACTCACACGTTGGTGACTTTGCCGGTCCCGTCACAGCTGACTCCGCTCCACGACCCAGGGGCGGCAGTGCCAGTCAGGGAGCAGGGCGAGTCCGCCTTCCAGTCAGTGAGGGTGACACCCAGCGACGCCTTGAGGTTGAGCATGGCGCCCGCGTGAGTGGCATCCATGGCCACAAAGGTGGCGCCCACGCAGATCAGCGGCAACAAGGGCGACGATGCGCTGTTAGGTGCACCCAGCGACACCAGATCCGTGGCGTTCACGGTGCACAGCCCGCCGTTGCACAGCCGGCCCTGCGCGTTGGTCGTGTTGCAGATGGCGCATGACGCTGTGGCGCGTTGCACCTCAGACACGCGTGTAGGGTTTTTGCACTTGGTGGCGTCGAGGAAGCAGTTCATGCGGCCGGCGCAGAGGGAGAGGTTGAGTGCGGGGAAGGAGCCGGCCAGGAAGTTGAACTGCACGTCCACCACAGAGAGAGGCGCCGCAACCGCGACCAGCGAGCCGGTGAGGTAGTTGTAGCCCAGGGTGCTGTTAGACGGTGCAGTGGGGAGGGCACGGGTGTACATGCACATAGGTTGAATAAATACGTTAGAAAGGGTGAAGTAAATAGGTTAAATCACGAGGTGTTAGAGCTTAGGAGGCATTGGAAGCAGAGGAAGGGAGTCTATTTTTGGAGCTTAGGACTCCTCACGCATTGGAAGCAGAGGAAGGGAGTCTATTTTTGGAGCTTAGGAATTGGAGCTTAGGACTCCTCACGCATTGGAAGCAGAGGAAGGAAATGTCAACGCGGATGAGGCTGAGCCGCTGAGGTGTTCGAGAATGCTAACAGGGACGAGCCAAGTGAAGAGGAGAAGAACAACGCGGAAGAGGATGCAGGTGGGGCTCACAGTTCAGTAAGCTTGGGGAGAGCGAGCATGAATGCAGGCACTGAGCCAGAGAACCAGTTGTAGGCGAGATCGCTGTGGGGGTGTGGGGTGAGAGCAGAGGAATAGGAGCAGGCGGGTGAGAAGATGCCACGGACCCAGAAGCAAGAATGCATGAGGACGGAAAAAAAGGGGGTGCCTAAATTGCATGGGCAGATGCAAGCTGTACAAGCTGCCTGTGCTAAGAGACGATTCCAGTTTTGGCAAGAACATAGCGCCACCATTATTCCCACAGCCCTTAGCACTTTATAGCACCATCTATAGTGACGCACATGGCTTTGAGATTGGTGAGGAAGCGCAGCTGCGTGGTAACTTCGTCCAGGCGGCCTTGGAAGAGGTTGGAAGTCAGATCGCTACGCAAAGGGGCAGAGAGGAGAGAGAGTGCGACGAGGGACAGAGAGGAGAGAGAATGCAGTGAGGGGCAGAGAGGAGAGGGAATGTCGGGGCAGAGAGGAGGCAGAGAGCGGAGCACGACTGGTTGTGATAATAGTACACCCGCGCTTGCGTTGTCGTGAGAAGCAGATGAGAGCCAGAGAAAATAGGTCAGCTGATAGCAAGCAAGGGTGGGCTAGATGGTCGGTTTCACCAAGTGAAGAACAGCAGGCATACAGATGGACTTACATGGCAGTGAGAGCTGTGAGGTTGGAGACAGCAGCAGGCAGAGTGCCTGTGAGCCCAGTGTTCGGGAGTTGGCTGGAGGCAGATGATAAAAGACGGGCCAGAAATATGACAAGGGGAGAGATTGATAAGTGGGAGAGAAGAAGAGCGATAAGGCGAGGATACGAGAGAAAGCCAAAGAAGGTGCATCCAGAGAAAATTGTCACAGGCAGCATGGGCAGGGGAGCAGCAGGCAGGCAGCGCTGGTGGGCTCTCAGGGCAGGTGGGCTCACGGGGCAGGTGGGCTCTCAGGGCAGGTAGGCTTACAGGGCAACGACTTTGCCGAGGGAGTCACAGAGGATGCCGTTCCACGTGCCAGTGATGACGGGCGTGGGTGCCACGGTGCAGAAGGTGGCAGCTGCCCACGTGGCATACGAGATGTTGAGCGCACTCTTCAGCACCAGCAGCGCCTCCGCTGCCACACAGGTGGGAGGAGGGGGGCACACAGGAGGAAGGAGGGAAGGCATGACGATGCTGGGGGAGGTGGCATGCTGGGGGAGGTGGCATGCTGGGGGAGGTGGCATGCTGGGGGAGGTGGCATGCTGGGGGAGGTGGCTTTCCCTCAGTGTTGTGACGCACAGGTATGCGGGCTAATAAATGCACAACCCTAAGTGCACCCAAAAAGAGGACAATATGAGCCCAAGAAATGAAAATCACACTTGACTTGATAGGCAAATGAAGATCAACTTGGTCATGTCTCGTTGACATCATCAAGTTCATGCATCAAGTCAACTATCGTGATACATCTTGCTCGCCCATCTTGTTTTGTTGATGGGTGTGGGCAACTAAGTTTGAGCATTGGTTGGGCTCCATAGATGCAGCATCACATGACCAACACTAACGATCTAGGACATGATACACAACACCGCAACCATACTCCATGCCAGATACCTTGTGCTGCATACAACATGCCTCATGCCCCACGTAACCATCCACAGTACTCATGCGACAAGCGTCGCTGTTAAGTTCACAGGGCGACAGGCATGGGTGTGACACAGGGCGACAAGCATGGGTGTGACATGTACAGGCCGGGTGACACGGTGACATGATGGAGGTGTGGGGCAGGTTGCTTACCATCAGCGGTGCTTATTGTCACCACAGGAGCTCCTGCACCACACGTTCAGGGCCATGCAGGGGGATCAGTATGGAAGTTGAGGGGGGTGAGGGGATGAAACAGCATTAGAAGCAGTGAGCAGAGAGTGAAATTCAGCAGGGCTGAGAAGGGCATGGTGAAAAGCAAAACGATTCCCCATCACAGCACAGGGAGAATCCTCTGGTGAGACGCACCAGAGCAGTACATGGGCTGTGGGGCATTCCCGTCAGGGTGGCTGGTGCTGGCTGTGACGTTGGGCAGGCACGTGCCTCCCCAGCACAGCAGCCCTTGTGCCGCTGCGCTGTCGCAGATGGCGCACGCAGCGGCAACCCTCTGCGAGGTGCTGCTCGCACCGCACGCAGCGGCACTGGTCAGACAGTTGAGGCTGGCGTCGCACGCCGTGAGGGCGCCCCCACTGAAGTTGCCCACGAGGAAGTTGTCATGCAGGAAGAACGAGAGCAGCGCCGCAGACACGCCTGGCAGCGACCCTGTCAGCGCATTTGCATGCACGTCCCTGGCAGGCCATGGTGGATGAGGCGGAGGAGGGGGGGGAGGGGGGCAGAGGACATGTGCATCATGAGTGGTGGAAATATGTTGGGCTGTTGGAAGCATGCCTCCTGCACACAGTGATTATGACCAGGTTGTGTGCGTGGTTATTTTTCTGGAAGAATGCTTACAGCAGAGTCAGGGCAGGAAGAGACACGAGAATCTGAGGCAGGGTCCCCGCGAACCAGTTGTTGTTGAGGCGCCTGAAGGGAGACCAAGGAGAGCAGATCCGTGGAGCAACATGGATGAGCGCAGCACGAGTGGGAGCAGCATGGGTGAGATCGGCACGAGTGGGAGCAGCACGAGTGAGAGCAGCACGAGTGAGAGCAGCATGAGTGAGAGCAGCACGAGGAGCGGCGGCACTAACAGCTGCTGGAGCGCCTTGAGGCCGGAGAAGGGGGCAGTGAAGTTGTCAAGGCTGGCGCGTAGGACGTTGTTGGACAGGTCGCTGCAGGGGCGGGGGGGGGGGGGGGGGGGGGGCAAGGAAGAGGGGAGCAGGCGGAATAAGGCAAGGGGAGGATATCAAAAGGCAGGCAGGGAAGGGGAGCAGGCAGAATTGATGCACAAGAGGATGGCACTCAAACTGGCACATCAGCAAAGCGAGCATGCAGAGGTTGACTGGCAGAAAACAAAGCCAGAGGGCGGGGCTGGCATAAGGTGGCCTGAACAGCTAGTGGGCAACAGGCATTGGGAGGACAAGAGAGAGCCGGGGGTGGAAGGCACTGACAGGTAGGTGAGGGCAGAGAGCTTGGAGATGTCGGCGTGCATGCTGCCAGTCAGGGCGGTGGAGGAGAGGTTCCTGCGCGCATGCACATGGGGGAGAGGCGGGAGGGGAAGGGGGGGAAAGGAGGCATGCAGTATATCCACGAATGTTTCAACTGCAGTGGAATACCAACAGGAGGTTTCTGCAACAGTCTATGCAACAGACGAAAGTAGGGAGCAGCGAGCAGGGCGCAGGGAAGACTGACACGCTGAGGACGGCGCCAGCAGCGGAGCAGAGCACGCCAGTCCAGGTGCCTCCGACAGTGATAGTGGAGTTGAAAACGGAGCAGGGCACACTCGCATTCCAGCTGGTGAAGGTCACTCCCAGAGCGCTCTTCACATTCAGCAGTGCCAGGGCTGCAGGCGAGGGGAGGGAGAGATGCGAAAGAATGAGAACAGGAAGTGAGGCCCACAGAGTACGAGATTGCAAAAGGAGTAGGCGCATGAGAATGCCCAGAGAAAAAAAACATGAAGGCAGATGGTGCATGGGAATATGGCGGCAAGGAGTGTCTGAGAAGCAGGCGCACCTGAGCCTGTATCCATTACAGTTGCGGGATTGTCTGCAGGGGGAGAATCATGCACAGGCGGAGTGAGGGAAAGCAAAGAGTGAGACATGGCAGGAGGCACTGGGAAGGTGAGAGCAGCGAGGGCAGGCAGAGGAGCCATGACCCGAAAGCTGTGTAGTTAGCTGGGCAATTGGCCATCCATGTGCAATAGTGCAAACCAAAATGCCAAGCCATGCCTTGCCACACTGACCTGTGGCCCCCATCCACACACCCGCCTGTGCTCCCCTCACACCCACCTGTGCTCCCCACACACCCACCTGTGCTCCCCACACACCCACCTGTGCTCCCCACACACCCGCCTGTGCTCCACACACACCCACCTCTGCATGACATGGGCAGCAGCGGCTCATTGGGCGAGTTGACAGTGCCGGCGCTGACGGCAGCGGTGGCGCTGGGAGCACAAGAACCACCGAAGCAGAGGTCTCCCTGGGCGGCTACGGAGCCGCAGATGGCACAGGCCCCACCAGGCCGCTGCACGATACCATAGGTGCGGCAGGCTGTTGAGTTGAGGAAGCAGTTGTTGTCGCCCGCACAGAACATGAGCGGCAGCTTGGGGAAGGAGCCCGAGAGGTAATTAAAGCCCACGTCCAGAGCGAGCAGGGCCTTGGAGGGGATGGGCACCGTGCCCGTGAGGTAGTTGGAGAACAGGCCGCTGGGGAAGGGGAGGGGAGGTGGGGGGAGTGGTTGGTGGAGGAGGCACGAGTGAGAGTGGCACTTGTGCTGAGTGGAGGGCGGAGAGCAATGAAGGGCTTCGAAGCACAGGGGGAGGGTGTTGGTGTCTGTGCTGTACCGTAACCCATGCTGCTCTTTTGGCTTACAGTGAGGTGAGTTGAGGCAGCAAGGCAATGGTAGACGGAATGGGGCCAGCGAAATAGTTGTAGTGGAAGAAGCTGGAAGGGGGTAGGGCAGGAAAAGGGTTGGGGTTGAGGGTGGGGAAGGCAGGGGTGTGAGGGGTACGAAATAATGGCTAGGAGGATAAGGACAGGGCGTTGATTCGCTTTCATCATGAAGTGCCAGCGAGCTGGATGGATGACATGTCACGAGAACCAGCCGCAGCATCTCCCATGCCTGTTCAGCAAGGCACAGCACAGACTAGGGCTTGTGAGGGTGAAGGAGAAGGGTGAGCGCGCTGAAGGTGGGGTGGGGGCTTACAGCGCCTTGAGCGTGGTCATGCTCTTCAGCGGAGCAGCAAAGAGGTCCAGCCGGCTCTGGAAGAGGTTGTAGCCGAGGTCCCTGGAGCAGATATATATACATATAAAGATATTTTATTTTTCATTTTTATTTTTATTTTTTTTAGGGGGGGGGGGGGGGAGGGGGGAGAGGGGGAGATGAGGAGGCGGAGAAAGGGAGGTTGAGGGAGATTGGGCAGTGCATATGAGTCTTGTCTTAGAACATGGCAGCTCACTGAAGTGTAAAGCTCATATCCCGGGCAGGCTGCCATTTAAGTTCGCTGATGGGCTATGTCAGTAGTAGCTTCAAAAGCTTGTGTGAGCGTGGTGAGCTGGGCTTACAGGTATGTGAGCGTTGTGAGCTGGGTGATATTTGGATGAATGTAGCCCTGCAGCCCCTGACGATTCAGCGCACTGTGAAGGAGTGAGCGCACAAGGTGAGGAGATGAGGTGTCAAGCACTTGAAAAATAGTAGCAAGAAGGCTGATTTTGCAGGGTGTTTTTGAGACTTTTGAGTCGACTCAAAAGTCACCTACTGGTGTTTTTGAGAATTCTCCAAGAATTGATGGGGTGAAAAAAAGTAGCAAGGCTGATGGGGTAGGAACGCAAGAGCAGCAACAGCCCTCCAGCTTACACACTCCAACCGTACACACCGCTCACTCAAATGCTGACCGTTTTTCCTTCCCTCACAAGCTCACTGCTTTCCCTTCACTCACATGCTCACCGCTTTCCCTTCACTCACATGCTCACCGCTATCCCTTCACTCACATGCTCACCGCTTTCCCTTCACTCACATGCTCACCGCTTTCCCTTCACTCACATGCTCACCGCTTCCCCCCCACCCCCCCCCCTCACATGCTCACCGCTTTCCCTTCACTCACATGCTCACCGCCCCCCCCCCCCCCCTTCACTCACATGCTCACCGCTTTCCCTTCACTCACATGCTCACCGCTTTCCCTTCACTCACATGCTCACCGCTTTCCCTTCACTCACATGCTCACCGCTTTCCCTTCACTCACATGCTCACCGCTTTCCCTTCACTCACATGCTCACCGCTTTCCCTTCACTCACATGCTCACCGCTTTCCCTTCACTCACATGCTCACCGCTTTCCCTTCACTCACATGCTCACCGCTTTCCCTTCACTCACATGCTCACCGCTTTCCCTTCACTCACATGCTCACCGCTTTCCCTTCACTCACATGCTCACCGCTTTCCCTTCACTCACATGCTCACCGCTTTCCCTTCACTCACATGCTCACCGCTTTCCCTTCACTCACATGCTCACCGCTTTCCCTTCACTCACATGCTCACCGCTTTCCCCTTCACTCACATGCTCACCGCTTTCCCTTCACTCACATGCTCACCGCTTTCCCCTTCACTCACATGCTCACCGCTTTCCCTTCACTCACATGCTCACCGCTTTCCCTTCACTCACATGCTCACCGCTTTCCCTTCACTCACATGCTCACCGCTTTCCCTTCACTCACATGCTCACCGCTTTCCCTTCACTCACATGCTCACCGCTTTCCCTTCACTCACATGCTCACCGCTTTCCCTTCACTCACATGCTCACCGCTTTCCCTTCACTCACATGCTCACCGCTTTCCCTTCACTCACATGCTCACCGCTTTCCCTTCACTCACATGCTCACCGCTTTCCCTTCACTCACATGCTCACCGCTTTCCCTTCACTCACATGCTCACCGCTTTCCCTTCACTCACATGCTCACCGCTTTCCCTTCACTCACATGCTCACCGCTTTCCCTTCACTCACATGCTCACCGCTTTCCCTTCACTCACATGCTCACCGCTTTCCCTTCACTCACATGCTCACCGCTTTCCCTTCACTCACATGCTCACCGCTTTCCCTTCACTCACATGCTCACCGCTTTCCCTTCACTCACATGCTCACCGCTTTCCCTTCACTCACATGCTCACCGCTTCCCTCACCACATGCTCACCGCTCCCTTCACTCACATGCTCACCGCTTTCCCCTTCACTCACATGCTCACCGCTTTCCCTTCACTCACATGCTCACCGCTTTCCCTTCACTCACATGCTCACCGCTTTCCCTTCACTCACATGCCTCACCGCTTTCCCTTCACTCACATGCTCACCGCTTTCCCTTCACTCACATGCTCACCGCTTTCCCTTCACTCACATGCTCACCGCTTTCCCTTCACTCACATGCTCACCGCTTCCCTTCACTCACATGCTCACCGCTTTCCCTTCACTCACATGCTCACCGCTTTCCCTTCACTCACATGCTCACCGCTTTCCCTTCACTCACATGCTCACCGCTTTCCCTTCACTCACATGCTCACCGCTTTCCCTTCACTCACATGCTCACCGCTTTCCCTTCACTCACATGCTCACCGCTTTCCCTTCACTCACATGCTCACCGCTTTCCCTTCACTCACATGCTCACCGCTTTCCCTTCACTCACATGCTCACCGCTTTCCCTTCACTCACATGCTCACCGCTTTCCCTTCACTCACATGCTCACCGCTTTCCCTTCACTCACATGCTCACCGCTTTCCCTTCACTCACATGCTCACCGCTTTCCCTTCACTCACATGCTCACCGCTTTCCCTTCACTCACATGCTCACCGCTTTCCCTTCACTCACATGCTCACCGCTTTCCCTTCACTCACATGCTCACCGCTTTCCCTTCACTCACATGCTCACCGCTTTCCCTTCACTCACATGCCCCCCCCCACATGCTCACCGCTTTCCCTTCACTCACATGCTCACCGCTTTCCCTTCACTCACATGCTCACCTTCCCTTCACTCACATGCTCACCGCTTTCCCTTCACTCACATGCTCACCGCTTTCCCTTCACTCACATGCTCACCGCTTTCCCTTCACTCACATGCTCACCGCTTTCCCTTCACTCACATGCTCACCGCTTCCCTTCACTCACATGCTCACCGCTTTCCCTTCACTCACATGCTCACCGCTTTCCCTTCACTCACATGCTCACCGCTTTCCCTTCACTCACATGCTCACCGCTTTCCCTTCACTCACATGCTCACCGCTTTCCCTTCACTCACATGCTCACCGCTTTCCCTTCACTCACATGCTCACCGCTTTCCCTTCACTCACATGCTCACCGCTTTCCCTTCACTCACATGCTCACCGCTTCCCCCCCCCCCCCCACTCACATGCTCACCGCTTTCCCTTCACTCACATGCTCACCGCTTTCCCTTCACTCACATGCTCACCGCTTTCCCTTCACTCACATGCTCACCGCTTTCCCTTCACTCACATGCTCACCGCTTTCCCTTCACTCACATGCTCACCGCTTTCCCTTCACTCACATGCTCACCGCTTTCCCTTCACTCACATGCTCACCGCTTTCCCTTCACTCACATGCTCACCGCTTTCCCTTCACTCACATGCTCACCGCTTTCCCTTCACTCACATGCTCACCGCTTTCCCTTCACTCACATGCTCACCGCTTTCCCTTCACTCACATGCTCACCGCTTTCCCTTCACTCACATGCTCACCGCTTTCCCTTCACTCACATGCTCACCGTCTTCCCCTTCACTCACATGCTCACCGCTTTCCCTTCACTCACATGCTCACCGCTTTCCCTTCACTCACATGCTCACCGCTTTCCCCTTCACTCACATGCTCACCGCTTTCCCTTCACTCACATGCTCACCGCTTTCCCTTCACTCACATGCTCACCGCTTTCCCTTCACTCACATGCTCACCGCTTTCCCTTCACTCACATGCTCACCGTCTTCCCCTTCACTCACATGCTCACCGCTTTCCCTTCACTCACATGCTCACCGCTTTCCCTTCACTCACATGCTCACCGCTTTCCCTTCACTCACATGCTCACCGTCTTCCCCTTCACTCACATGCTCACCGCTTTCCCTTCACTCACATGCTCACCGCTTTCCCTTCACTCACATGCTCACCGCTTTCCCTTCACTCACATGCTCACCGCTTTCCCTTCACTCACATGCTCACCGTCTTCCCCTTCACTCACATGCTCACCGCTTTCCCTTCACTCACATGCTCACCGTCTTCCCTTCACTCACATGCTCACCGCTTTCCCTTCACTCACATGCTCACCGCTTTCCCTTCACTCACATGCTCACCGTCTTCCCTTCACTCACATGCTCACCGTCTTCCCTTCACTCACATGCTCACCGTCTTCCCTTCACTCACATGCTCACCGCTTTCCCTTCACTCACATGCTCACCGCTTTCCCTTCACTCACATGCTCACCGTCTTCCCCTTCACTCACATGCTCACCGTCTTCCCCTTCACTCACATGCTCACCGCTTCCCCTTCACTCACATGCTCACCGCTTTCCCTTCACTCACATGCTCACCGTCTTCCCCTTCACTCACATGCTCACCGCTTCCCCTTCACTCACATGCTCACCGCTTTCCCTTCACTCACATGCTCACCGTCTTCCCCTTCACTCACATGCTCACCGCTTCCCCTTCACTCACATGCTCACCGCTTCCCCTTCACTCACATGCTCACCGCTTCCCCTTCACTCACATGCTCACCGCTTCCCCTTCACTCACATGCTCACCGCTTCCCCTTCACTCACATGCTCACCGCTTCCCCTTCACTCACATGCTCACCGCTTCCCCTTCACTCACATGCTCACCGCTTCCCCTTCACTCACATGCTCACCGCTTCCCCTTCACTCACATGCTCACCGCTTCCCCTTCACTCACATGCTCAGCACATGGCCTCCAGCGGCACACTGCACACCGCCCCAATGCGAAGGCAGTGGTGTCTGTCCCTCCAGCGTACAATGCGCTGCTGCATTCCAGTTGGTGAGAGTCACACCCAGCGACGACTTGAGGGCCATCAACACCACAGCTGGTTGGGGGAGGGCGGGGAGGAAGTGGGATGTGAGGAAACAGCAGTGGAAGACAGGGAAGGGAGGGCGACGAGATGGATTGGCCACAGGCACGCAAAGAGTAGGACAGCGAAACGTCCAACGGATGGGTTTGACACTTACCGTCGCCGGCGTCCATGTAGGGCGCATAGCAGTAGAGCGCCACTTGAGCACCAAAGTTCTTGACCTGCCCAGAGATGCGTGCGTCTGCGTCCGGTATGCATGCCTTGCCACCGCACAGCGTGCCAGCGCCATTGGTGCTGCCGCAGAAGGCGCAGTCGGTGGCGGCACGCTGGCTGCCGGCGCAGCTGCCAGTGCTGGCGAAGCAGTTGCTGCCGCTGTTGCAGAAGGACCAGGTGCCCGTGGGGATGCTTCCCACCAGGTAGTTGGAGTACAGGTCCAGACTCTTCAACTTTGTGATGGCTGTAGGGACCGTGCCCGTCAGGTAGTTGAAGCGGAGCGCACTGCAATGGGGTGGGGAGCACAGACAAAAGCAATTGGTGTTCAATGTTTAGGGAGTGGTTGGTGGCGTGCAGGGCAGTGATTAGTCTTATGCAGGGCAGCGATTGGCAGTGTGGAGGGCAGTGATTGGTGGCGTGCAGGGCAGTAATTGGTCTTATGCAGGGCAGCAATCGGGTGCGTGGAGGGAAGTGATTGGTGTCGTGGAGGGCATCAATTGGTAGCGTGGAGAACAGTGCTTGACCCTGTGGAGGGCAGTGATTGGACGCGTCGAGACCAGTGATTGGTGGTGTGGATTTGCCTCCAGAGGGCGAAGCTCTTCTCATGCAAGCATTGTTCAAAGAAGGATGGAGGGAACGTGGAGGATGGCGAGAGAAGGAGCCCGAAACAGAGACACCGGGAAGGGAATGAAGAGAGGGGGAGAGAGCAAAGCCTCTACATTCTGTACTTACGCATTGGTAAGGCTGGGCAGACTCATGAGTATGCTGGGGAACGAACCCGAGAAGTACATGTACTGCATGGCTCTGGCAGAGGGGAACAAGTAGAAAGGGGGCGACACTTAAGAGAGGGAAATGGTTGAGAGTTGGCATGGCTCCGGCACAAGTAGAGAGAGACGAGGAAGCAGAAGGAAGGCACAACATGAGAGGGAGCGATATGAGGCACACGCGTTAACACTCGCAAGCCAGTCGGGGTCCTACTCCTCACGCAACATAGTTGGGTTCGTACCGTACTCCCATGGCCCTCAATCCCAATAGCTGCTTCCTACATGGCTTTCCAATAGCAAGCACCCACCTGGCTTTCAAAATGGCACTCACAGGGTGTTCAAGTTTGTCAGCGTAGAGAAATCCTTGAGGTAGTCTGCGAGGCTTCCATCAATGAAGTTCCACGGCATCACCCTGCGCGCGGACCAGGGAAACGCTAAGGGTCAGGCTGGACTCACATAGTGCGAGAATCATCACCAATGCACGGCCCCAAACAAGCATCCACGCACGCAGGCATGCACGCACGCATGCACGCACGCACGAGCGCATGCAGGCACGGCTCATTTGACTCCTACCAGACCTGAAGCGCACTCACACCATGGGCAGCGCACTCACACACCATGGGCAGGGGCACTCACACAAGGCCCAGCGTTGTGAGCTTGGAGATGTCTGAAGGGAAGCTCTTGCGCACAAGACCTGCGGAGTCCAGGTTTCTGCCAGTGGCCAAAGCCACACCAAGGGAAGCAACACACGGGTGAGGCAAAGCGTGCGGCGCACAACGTAGCGTACATGGAGGTCAGCCAAGGAGAGGCGGATTGCAGGCGCAGCTCGCGCGCCACGCCTTCACCGCTGCACTCACATGGAGTAGAGGCGGCCGTCGGATGTGCAGCTGACACGGTCCCACTCGTTAGTGCCAGCAGCATTGCCCTCGAGGCGGCAAGGAACGGTGGTGGCCCAGTTGGTGAAGGTGAGCCCCATGGCCGTCTTGATGTTGAGCAGAGCCGCCGCTGATGGGGGAAGTGGCGAAAACAGGGGAGGGAGGGCGAGGAGGGAGATAGCGATGTGCCACAGGCACGCAGAGAGCGGGACAGCGGAACGTCAAACGGATGGGTCTGAGACTTACCGTCGCCGGCATTCATGTAGAGCACAGAGCAGTAGAGCGCCACCTGAGCGCCCGAGTTCTTGACCTGCCCAGAGATGCGTGCGTCTGCGTCCGGTATGCACGCCCTGCCACCGCACAGCGTGCCGGCGCCGTCCGTGCTGCCGCAGATGGCGCAGTCGGTGGCGGCGCGCTGAGTGCCGGCGCAGCTGCCAGTGCTGGCGAAGCAGTTGCTGCCGCTGTTGCAGAAGGACCAGGTGCCCGTGGGGATGCTGCCCACCAGGTAGTTGGAGTACAGGTCCAGACTCTTGAACTTTGTGATGGCCGTGGGGACCGTGCCCGTCAGGTAGTTGAAGCGGAACGTGCTGCAGGGGTGGGGTGCACCGAAGATAGCGTTTGGCAAGGTGAACCTTCTGGGGCCCTTGGAGGGCAGTGATTGGCCGCCTCAACCTTTGCTTCCGGAAGACACCTTGGGTCGAGAGGATATGACAAAAAGCCATGCTGGTACGACCCATGGGCCTCTATTCTGTACTTACACGCTAGTAAGGCTGGGCAGGTTCATGAGCACGCTTGGAAAAGACCCCGAGAAGTACATGTACTGCATGGCCCTGGCAGAGAGGGAAACGGAAATGCGAGGCAAGCACACCTGAGAGAGTGAAATAGGAGGAGGAGGGATTACACATACAGGCTCTCCCTGCGGCCACACTACTAACATGGCCTTCGAACCCAATACTTGATACCCACATGCATTTTGATTTGAAAACCCAATAGTCAATAATACCCTCATGCCAATCGAGTGGAGCTAAATAGCTCATAGCCATGGCACTTTCAAGTTGGCACTCACAGGGTCTTCAAGTTGGTGAGCGCCGAGAAATCCTTGAGGTAGGTCTCAAGGTTGCCATCAATGAAGTTCCACGGCATCCACCTGCACACCGCAAAGGAAACGCTGAGGGTCAGGCTGGCACGGTCAGACCTCAGCCACACGGTCACACTTCAGCCGCACCGCCACACTTATGCTGCACGGCCGTGTGACGATCGCCGGCGACAGGTGCACAACAGACTTGAACACTCATGCCTGCACAGCTCATGCAACTCCTCCCAGCCTTGTAGCGTGGAATTGATAAAGAATTTTTGGACCACAAACACCACCAGCACAATCGCAACACGGCCAGCACAATCGCAACATGGCCAGCGCAATCACACCATGGCCAGCACACTCACACCATGGCCAGCACACTCACACCATGGCCAGCACACTCACACCATGGCCAGCACACTCACACCATGGCCAGCACACTCACACCATGGCCAGCACACTCACACCATGCCCAGCACACTCACACCATGCCCAGCACACTCACACCATGCCCAGCACACTTACACCATGCCCAGCCCGGTGAGGTTGGAGATGCCGGACGGGAAGCTCTTGCGCACGAGGTTCATGGAGTCCAGGTTGCTGCCCATGCGCACCGCACAGATTTGGAAACGAGATGAGTGAAACAAATCCAAAGTTGCTACAATTGGAGCAAACAACCTCACCACAACGATTCCACCGGGCTTTCCGCTCAATTGGGTTCACAGCACGAGTGAACGGGTGAACGGATGCACGGGTGCACTCACATCATGAAGAGGCGGCGGTCAGCGGTGCAGCTGACGCGGTCCCACTCGCCAGCACTGGCACTGGCGCCCTCCAGGCGGCAGGGATTGGTGGTGGCCCAGTTGGTGAAGGTGAGCCCCATGGCCGTCTTGATGTTGAGCAGAACCGCCGCTGATGGGGGAAGTGGCGAAAACAGGGGATGGAGGGCGAGGAGAGGGAGGTAGCGATGGGCCACAGGCACGCAGAGAGCGGGACAGGGAATCGTCAAACGGATGGGTTTAAGCCTTACCGTCACCGGCATCCATGTAGAGTGTATAGCAGTTGAGCGCCACTTGAGCGCCGAAGTTCTTGACCTTGCTGGCAATAGCCGTGTCGGCGTCTGGCACGCACGGCTTGGTGCCACCGCACAGCGTGCCAGTGCCATCCGTGCTGCCGCATATGGCGCACGCGGTGACGGCGCGCTGGCTGCCGGCGCAGCTGCCAGTGCTGGCGAAGCAGTTGCTGCCGCTGTTGCAGAAGGACCAGGTGCCCGTGGGGATGCTTCCCACCAGGTAGTTGGAGTACAGGTCCAGACTCTTCAACTTTGTGATGGCTGTGGGGACCGTGCCCGTCAGGTAGTTGAAGCGGAGCGCCCTGCAATGGGGTGGGGAGCAGACACAAGCGATAGGTGTTCAATGTTCGGGCAGTGATTGGTAGCGTGCAGGGCAGTGATTGGTCTTATGCAGGGCAGCGATTGGCAGTGTCGAGGGCAGTGGTTGGTGGCGTGCAGGGCAGTGATTGGTCTTATGCCGGGCAGTGATTGGTCTTATGCCGGGCAGTGACTGGTCTTATGCAGGGCAGCGATTGGCTGCGTGGAGGGCAGTGATTGGACACGTCGAGACCAGTGATTGGTGGTGTGGATTTGCCTCCAGAGGGCGAAGCTCTTCTCATGCAAGCATTGTTCAAAGAAGGATGGAGGGAACGTGGAGGATGGCGAGAGAAGGAGCCCGAAACAGAGACACCGGGAAGGGAATGAAGAGAGGGGGAGAGAGCAAAGCCTCTACATTCTGTACTTACGCATTGGTAAGGCTGGGCAGACTCATGAGTATGCTGGGGAACGAACCCGAGAAGTACATGTACTGCATGGCTCTGGCAGAGGGGAACAATGAAAGAGAAAGGGGGCGACACTTAAGAGAGGGAAATGGTTGAGAGTTGGCATGGCTCCGGCACAAGTAGAGAGAGACGAGGAAGCAGAAGGAAGGCACAACATGAGAGGGAGCGATGAGGCACACGCATTAACACTCGCAAGCCAGTCGGGGTCCTACTCCTCACACAACATAGTTGGGTTCGTACCGTACTCCCATGGCCCTCAATCCCAATAGCTGCTTCCTTCATGGCTTTCCAATAGCAAGCACCCACGTGGCTTTCAAAATGGCACTCACAGGGTGTTCAAGTTTGTCAGCGTAGAGAAATCCTTGAGGTAGTCTGCGAGGCTTCCATCAATGAAGTTCCACGGCATCACCCTGCGCACGGACCAGGGAAACGCTAAGGGTCAGGCTGGACTCACATAGTGCGAGAATCATCACCAATGCACGGCCCCAAACAAGCATCCACGCACGCAGGCATGCACGCACGCATGCACGCACGCACGAGCGCATGCAGGCACGGCTCATTTGACTCCTGCCAGACCTGAAGCGCACTCACACCATGGGCAGCGCACTCACACACCATGGGCAGGGGCACTCACACAAGGCCCAGCGTTGTGAGCTTGGAGATGTCTGAAGGGAAGCTCTTGCGCACAAGACCTGCGGAGTCCAGGTTTCTGCCAGTGGCCAAAGCCACACCAAGGGAAGCAACACACGGGTGAGGCAAAGCGTGCGGCGCACAACGTAGCGTACATGGAGGTCAGCCAAGGAGAGGCGGATTGCAGGCGCAGCTCACGCGCCACGCCTTCACCGCTGCACTCACATGGAGTAGAGGCGGCCGTCGGATGTGCAGCTGACACGGTCCCACTCGTTAGCGCCAGCAGCATTGCCCTCGAGGCGGCAAGGAACGGTGGTGGCCCAGTTGGTGAAGGTGAGCCCCATGGCCGTCTTGATGTTGAGCAGAGCCGCCGCTGATGGGGGAAGTGGCGAAAACAGGGGAGGGAGGGCGAGGAGGGAGATAGCGATGGGCCACAGGCACGCAGAGAGCGGGACAGCGGAACGTCAAACGGATGGGTCTGAGACTCACCGTCGCCGGCATTCATGTAGAGCGCAGAGCAGTAGAGCGCCACCTGAGCGCCCGAGTTCTTGACCTGCCCAGAGATGCGTGCGTCTGCGTCCGGTATGCACGCCCTGCCACCGCACAGCGTGCCGGCGCCGTCCGTGCTGCCGCAGATGGCGCAGTCGGTGGCGGCGCGCTGAGTGCCGGCGCAGCTGCCAGTGCTGGCGAAGCAGTTGCTGCCGCTGTTGCAGAAGGACCAGGTGCCCGTGGGGATGCTGCCCACCAGGTAGTTGGAGTACAGGTCCAGACTCTTGAACTTTGTGATGGCCGTGGGGACCGTGCCCGTCAGGTAGTTGAAGCGGAACGTGCTGCAGGGGTGGGGTGCACCGAAGATAGCGTTTGGCAAGGTGAACCTTCTGGGGCCCTTGGAGGGCAGTGATTGGCCGCCTCAACCTTTGCTTCCGGAAGACACCTTGGGTCGAGAGGATATGACAAAAAGCCATGCTGGTACGACCCATGGTCCTCTATTCTGTACTTACACGCTAGTAAGGCTGGGCAGGTTCATGAGCACGCTTGGAAAAGACCCCGAGAAGTACATGTACTGCATGGCCCTGGCAGAGAGGGAAACGGAAATGCGAGGCAAGCACACCTGAGAGAGTGAAATAGGAGGAGGAGGGATTACACATACAGGCTCTCCCTGCGGCCACACTACTAACATGGCCTTCGAACCCAATACTTGATACCCACATGCATTTTGATTTGAAAACCCAATAGTCAATAATACCCTCATGCCAATCGAGTGGAGCTAAATAGCTCATAGCCATGGCACTTTCAAGTTGGCACTCACAGGGTCTTCAAGTTGGTGAGCGCCGAGAAATCCTTGAGGTAGGTCTCAAGGTTGCCATCAATGAAGTTCCACGGCATCCACCTGCACACCGCAAAGGAAACGCTGAGGGTCAGGCTGGCACGGTCAGACCTCAGCCACACGGTCACACTTCAGCCGCACCGCCACACTTATGCTGCACGGCCGTGTGACGATCGCCGGCGACAGGTGCACAACAGACTTGAACACTCATGCCTGCACAGCTCATGCAACTCCTCCCAGCCTTGTAGCGTGGAATTGATAAAGAATTTTTGGACCACAAACACCACCAGCACAATCGCAACACGGCCAGCACAATCGCAACATGGCCAGCGCAATCACACCATGGCCAGCACACTCACACCATGGCCAGCACACTCACACCATGGCCAGCACACTCACACCATGGCCAGCACACTCACACCATGGCCAGCACACTCACACCATGGCCAGCACACTCACACCATGCCCAGCACACTCACACCATGCCCAGCACACTCACACCATGCCCAGCACACTTACACCATGCCCAGCCCGGTGAGGTTGGAGATGCCGGACGGGAAGCTCTTGCGCACGAGGTTCATGGAGTCCAGGTTGCTGCCCATGCGCACCGCACAGATTTGGAAACGAGATGAGTGAAACAAATCCAAAGTTGCTACAATTGGAGCAAACAACCTCACCACAACGATTCCACCGGGCTTTCCGCTCAATTGGGTTCACAGCACGAGTGAACGGGTGAACGGATGCACGGGTGCACTCACATCATGAAGAGGCGGCGGTCAGCGGTGCAGCTGACGCGGTCCCACTCGCCAGCACTGGCACTGGCGCCCTCCAGGCGGCAGGGATTGGTGGTGGCCCAGTTGGTGAAGGTGAGCCCCATGGCCGTCTTGATGTTGAGCAGAACCGCCGCTGATGGGGGAAGTGGCGAAAACAGGGGATGGAGGGCGAGGAGAGGGAGGTAGCGATGGGCCACAGGCACGCAGAGAGCGGGACAGGGAATCGTCAAACGGATGGGTTTAAGCCTTACCGTCACCGGCATCCATGTAGAGTGTATAGCAGTTGAGCGCCACTTGAGCGCCGAAGTTCTTGACCTTGCTGGCAATAGCCGTGTCGGCGTCTGGCACGCACGGCTTGGTGCCACCGCACAGCGTGCCAGTGCCATCCGTGCTGCCGCATATGGCGCACGCGGTGACGGCGCGCTGGCTGCCGGCGCAGCTGCCAGTGCTGGCGAAGCAGTTGCTGCCGCTGTTGCAGAAGGACCAGGTGCCCGTGGGGATGCTTCCCACCAGGTAGTTGGAGTACAGGTCCAGACTCTTCAACTTTGTGATGGCTGTGGGGACCGTGCCCGTCAGGTAGTTGAAGCGGAGCGCCCTGCAATGGGGTGGGGAGCAGACACAAGCGATAGGTGTTCAATGTTCGGGCAGTGATTGGTAGCGTGCAGGGCAGTGATTGGTCTTATGCAGGGCAGCGATTGGCAGTGTCGAGGGCAGTGGTTGGTGGCGTGCAGGGCAGTGATTGGTCTTATGCCGGGCAGTGATTGGTCTTATGCCGGGCAGTGACTGGTCTTATGCAGGGCAGCGATTGGCTGCGTGGAGGGCAGTGATTGGACACGTCGAGACCAGTGATTGGTGGTGTGGATTTGCCTCCAGAGGGCGAAGCTCTTCTCATGCAAGCATTGTTCAAAGAAGGATGGAGGGAACGTGGAGGATGGCGAGAGAAGGAGCCCGAAACAGAGACACCGGGAAGGGAATGAAGAGAGGGGGAGAGAGCAAAGCCTCTACATTCTGTACTTACGCATTGGTAAGGCTGGGCAGACTCATGAGTATGCTGGGGAACGAACCCGAGAAGTACATGTACTGCATGGCTCTGGCAGAGGGAACAATGAAAGAGAAAGGGGGCGACACTTAAGAGAGGGAAATGGTTGAGAGTTGGCATGGCTCCGGCACAAGTAGAGAGAGACGAGGAAGCAGAAGGAAGGCACAACATGAGAGGGAGCGATGAGGCACACGCATTAACACTCGCAAGCCAGTCGGGGTCCTACTCCTCACACAACATAGTTGGGTTCGTACCGTACTCCCATGGCCCTCAATCCCAATAGCTGCTTCCTTCATGGCTTTCCAATAGCAAGCACCCACGTGGCTTTCAAAATGGCACTCACAGGGTGTTCAAGTTTGTCAGCGTAGAGAAATCCTTGAGGTAGTCTGCGAGGCTTCCATCAATGAAGTTCCACGGCATCACCCTGCGCACGGACCAGGGAAACGCTAAGGGTCAGGCTGGACTCACATAGTGCGAGAATCATCACCAATGCACGGCCCCAAACAAGCATCCACGCACGCAGGCATGCACGCACGCATGCACGCACGCACGAGCGCATGCAGGCACGGCTCATTTGACTCCTGCCAGACCTGAAGCGCACTCACACCATGGGCAGCGCACTCACACACCATGGGCAGGGGCACTCACACAAGGCCCAGCGTTGTGAGCTTGGAGATGTCTGAAGGGAAGCTCTTGCGCACAAGACCTGCGGAGTCCAGGTTTCTGCCAGTGGCCAAAGCCACACCAAGGGAAGCAACACACGGGTGAGGCAAAGCGTGCGGCGCACAACGTAGCGTACATGGAGGTCAGCCAAGGAGAGGCGGATTGCAGGCGCAGCTCACGCGCCACGCCTTCACCGCTGCACTCACATGGAGTAGAGGCGGCCGTCGGATGTGCAGCTGACACGGTCCCACTCGTTAGCGCCAGCAGCATTGCCCTCGAGGCGGCAAGGAACGGTGGTGGCCCAGTTGGTGAAGGTGAGCCCCATGGCCGTCTTGATGTTGAGCAGAGCCGCCGCTGATGGGGGAAGTGGCGAAAACAGGGGAGGGAGGGCGAGGAGGGAGATAGCGATGGGCCACAGGCACGCAGAGAGCGGGACAGCGGAACGTCAAACGGATGGGTCTGAGACTCACCGTCGCCGGCATTCATGTAGAGCGCAGAGCAGTAGAGCGCCACCTGAGCGCCCGAGTTCTTGACCTGCCCAGAGATGCGTGCGTCTGCGTCCGGTATGCACGCCCTGCCACCGCACAGCGTGCCGGCGCCGTCCGTGCTGCCGCAGATGGCGCAGTCGGTGGCGGCGCGCTGAGTGCCGGCGCAGCTGCCAGTGCTGGCGAAGCAGTTGCTGCCGCTGTTGCAGAAGGACCAGGTGCCCGTGGGGATGCTGCCCACCAGGTAGTTGGAGTACAGGTCCAGACTCTTGAACTTTGTGATGGCCGTGGGGACCGTGCCCGTCAGGTAGTTGAAGCGGAACGTGCTGCAGGGGTGGGGTGCACCGAAGATAGCGTTTGGCAAGGTGAACCTTCTGGGGCCCTTGGAGGGCAGTGATTGGCCGCCTCAACCTTTGCTTCCGGAAGACACCTTGGGTCGAGAGGATATGACAAAAAGCCATGCTGGTACGACCCATGGGCCTCTATTCTGTACTTACACGCTAGTAAGGCTGGGCAGGTTCATGAGCACGCTTGGAAAAGACCCCGAGAAGTACATGTACTGCATGGCCCTGGCAGAGAGGGAAACGGAAATGCGAGGCAAGCACACCTGAGAGAGTGAAATAGGAGGAGGAGGGATTACACATACAGGCTCTCCCTGCGGCCACACTACTAACATGGCCTTCGAACCCAATACTTGATACCCACATGCATTTTGATTTGAAAACCCAATAGTCAATAATACCCTCATGCCAATCGAGTGGAGCTAAATAGCTCATAGCCATGGCACTTTCAAGTTGGCACTCACAGGGTCTTCAAGTTGGTGAGCGCCGAGAAATCCTTGAGGTAGGTCTCAAGGTTGCCATCAATGAAGTTCCACGGCATCCACCTGCACACCGCAAAGGAAACGCTGAGGGTCAGGCTGGCACGGTCAGACCTCAGCCACACGGTCACACTTCAGCCGCACCGCCACACTTATGCTGCACGGCCGTGTGACGATCGCCGGCGACAGGTGCACAACAGACTTGAACACTCATGCCTGCACAGCTCATGCAACTCCTCCCAGCCTTGTAGCGTGGAATTGATAAAGAATTTTTGGACCACAAACACCACCAGCACAATCGCAACACGGCCAGCACAATCGCAACATGGCCAGCGCAATCACACCATGGCCAGCACACTCACACCATGGCCAGCACACTCACACCATGGCCAGCACACTCACACCATGGCCAGCACACTCACACCATGGCCAGCACACTCACACCATGGCCAGCACACTCACACCATGGCCAGCACACTCACACCATGCCCAGCACACTCACACCATGCCCAGCACACTCACACCATGCCCAGCACACTCACACCATGCCCAGCACACTTACACCATGCCCAGCCCGGTGAGGTTGGAGATGCCGGACGGGAAGCTCTTGCGCACGAGGTTCATGGAGTCCAGGTTGCTGCCCATGCGCACCGCACAGATTTGGAAACGAGATGAGTGAAACAAATCCAAAGTTGCTACAATTGGAGCAAACAACCTCACCACAACGATTCCACCGGGCTTTCCGCTCAATTGGGTTCACAGCACGAGTGAACGGGTGAACGGATGCACGGGTGCACTCACATCATGAAGAGGCGGCGGTCAGCGGTGCAGCTGACGCGGTCCCACTCGCCAGCACTGGCACTGGCGCCCTCCAGGCGGCAGGGATTGGTGGTGGCCCAGTTGGTGAAGGTGAGCCCCATGGCCGTCTTGATGTTGAGCAGAACCGCCGCTGATGGGGGAAGTGGCGAAAACAGGGGATGGAGGGCGAGGAGAGGGAGGTAGCGATGGGCCACAGGCACGCAGAGACCGGGACAGGGAATCGTCAAACGGATGGGTTTAAGCCTTACCGTCACCGGCATCCATGTAGAGTGTATAGCAGTTGAGCGCCACTTGAGCGCCGAAGTTCTTGACCTTGCTGGCAATAGCCGTGTCGGCGTCTGGCACGCACGGCTTGGTGCCACCGCACAGCGTGCCAGTACCATCCGTGCTGCCACATATGGCGCACGCGGTGACGGCACGCTGGCTGCCGGCGCAGCTGCCAGTGCTGGCGAAGCAGTTGCTGCCGCTGTTGCAGAAGGACCAGGTGCCCGTGGGGATGCTTCCCACCAGGTAGTTGGAGTACAGGTCCAGACTCTTCAACTTTGTGATGGCTGTGGGGACCGTGCCCGTCAGGTAGTTGAAGCGGAGCGCCCTGCAATGGGGTGGGGAGCAGACACAAGCGATAGGTGTTCAATGTTCGGGCAGTAATTGGTGCCGTGCAGGGGAATGATTGGTCTTATGCAGGGCAGCGATTGGCAGTGTCGAGGGCAGTGGTTGGTGGCGTGCAGGGCAGTGATTGGTCTTATGCCGGGCAGTGATTGGTCTTATGCCGGGCAGTGATTGGTCTTATGCAGGGCAGCGATTGGCTGCGTGGAGGGCAGTGATTGGACACGTCGAGACCAGTGATTGGTTGTGTGGATTTGCCTCCAGAGGGCGAAGCTCTTCTCATGCAAGCATTGTTCAAAGAAGGATGGAGGGAACGTGGAGGATGGCGAGAGAAGGAGCCCGAAACAGAGACACCGGGAAGGGAATGAAGAGAGGGGGAGAGAGCAAAGCCTCTACATTCTGTACTTACGCATTGGTCAGGCTGGGCAGACTCATGAGTATGCTGGGGAACGAACCCGAGAAGTACATGTACTGCATGGCTCTGGCAGAGGGGAACAATGAAAGAGAAAGGGGGCGACACTTAAGAGAGGGAAATGGTTGAGAGTTGGCATGGCTCCGGCACAAGTAGAGAGAGACGAGGAAGCAGAAGGAAGGCACAACATGAGAGGGAGCGATGAGGCACACGCGTTAACACTCGCAAGCCAGTCGGGGTCCTACTCCTCATGCAACATAGTTGGGTTCATACCGTACTCCCATGGCCCTCAATCCCAATAGCTGCTTCCTACATGGCTTTCCAATAGCAAGCACCCACCTGGCTTTCAAAATGGCACTCACAGGGTGTTCAAGTTTGTCAGCGTAGAGAAATCCTTGAGGTAGTCTGCGAGGCTTCCATCAATGAAGTTCCACGGCATCACCCTGCGCGCGGACCAGGGAAACGCTAAGGGTCAGGCTGGACTCACATAGTGCGAGAATCATCATCAATGCACGGCCCCAAACAAGCATCCACGCACGCAGGCATGCACGCACGCATGCACGCACACATGCACGCACGCATGCACGCACGCACGAGCGCATGCAGGCACGGCTCATTTGACTCCTACCAGACCTGAAGCGCACTCACACCATGGGCAGCGCACTCACACACCATGGGCAGGGGCACTCACACAAGGCCCAGCGTTGTGAGCTTGGAGATGTCTGAAGGGAAGCTCTTGCGCACAAGACCTGCGGAGTCCAGGTTTCTGCCAGTGGCCAAAGCCACACCAAGGGAAGCAACACACGGGTGAGGCAAAGCGTGCGGCGCACAACGTAGCGTACATGGAGGTCAGCCAAGGAGAGGCGGATTGCAGGCGCAGCTCACGCGCCACGCCTTCACCGCTGCACTCACATGGAGTAGAGGCGGCCGTCGGATGTGCAGCTGACACGGTCCCACTCGTTAGCGCCAGCAGCATTGCCCTCGAGGCGGCAAGGAACCGTGGTAGCCCAGTTGCTGAAGGTGAGCCCCATGGCCGTCTTGATGTTGAGCAGAGCCGCCGCTGATGGGGGAAGTGGCGAAAACAGGGGAGGGAGGGCGAGGAGAGGGAGATAGCGATGTGCCACAGGCACGCAGAGAGCGGGACAGCGGAACGTCAAACGGATGGGTCTGAGACTTACCGTCGCCGGCATTCATGTAGAGCGCAGAGCAGTAGAGCGCCACCTGAGCGCCCGAGTTCTTGACCTGCCCAGAGATGCGTGCGTCTGCGTCCGGTATGCACGCCCTGCCACCGCACAGCGTGCCGGCGCCGTCCGTGCTGCCGCAGATGGCGCAGTCCGGTGGCGGCGCGCTGGAGTGCCGGCGCAGCTGCCAGTGCTGGCGAAGCAGTTGCTGCCGCTGTTGCAGAAGGACCAGGTGCCCGTGGGGATGCTGCCCACCAGGTAGTTGGAGTACAGGTCCAGACTCTTGAACTTTGTGATGGCCGTGGGGACCGTGCCCGTCAGGTAGTTGAAGCGGAACGTGCTGCAGGGGTGGGGTGCACCGAAGATAGCGTTTGGCAAGGTGAACCTTCTGGGGCCCTTGGAGGGCAGTGATTGGCCGCCTCAACCTTTGCTTCCGGAAGACACCTTGGGTCGAGAGGATATGACAAAAAGCCATGCTGGTACGACCCATGGGCCTCTATTCTGTACTTACACGCTAGTAAGGCTGGGCAGGTTCATGAGCACACTTGGAAAAGACCCCGAGAAGTACATGTACTGCATGGCCCTGGCAGAGAGGGAAACGGAAAAGCAAGGCAAGCACACCTGAGAGAGTGAAATAGGAGGAGGAGGGATTACACATACAGGCTCTCCCTGCGGCCACACTACTAACATGGCCTTCGAACCCAATACTTGATACCCACATGCATTTTGATTTGAAAACCCTATAGTCAATAATACCCTCATGCCAATCGAGTGGAGCTAAATAGCTCATAGCCATGGCACTTTCAAGTTGGCACTCACAGAGTCTTCAAGTTGGTGAGCGCCGAGAAATCCTTGAGGTAGGTCTCAAGGTTGCCATCAATGAAGTTCCACGGCATCCACCTGAACGCCGCAAAGGAAACGCTGAGGGTCAGGCTGGCACGGTCAGACCTCAGCCACACGGTCACACTTCAGCCGCACCGCCACACTTATGCTGCACGGCCGTCTGACGATCGCCGGCGACAGGTGCACAACAGACTTGAAGACTCATGCCTGCACAGCTCATGCAACTCCTCCCAGCCTTGTAGCGTGGAATTGATAGAGAATTTTTGGACCACAAACACCACCAGCACAATCGCAACATGGCCAGCGCAATCGCAACATGGCCAGCGCACTCACACCATGGCCAGCGCACTCACACCATGGCCAGCACACTCACACCATGGCCAGCACACTCACACCATGCCCAGCACACTCACACCATGGCCAGCACACTCACACCATGGCCAGCACACTCACACCATGGCCAGCACACTCACACCATGCCCAGCACACTTACACCATGCCCAGCCCGGTGAGGTTGGAGATGTCAGACGGGAAGCTCTTGCGCACGAGGTTCATGGAGTCCAGGTTGCTGCCCATGCGCACCGCACAGATTTGGAAACGAGATGAGTGAAACAAATCCAAAGTTGCTACAATTGGAGCAAACAACCTCACCACAACGATTCCACCGGGCTTTCCGCTCCATTGGGTTCACAGCACGAGTGAACGGGTGAACGGATGCACGGGTGCACTCACATCATGAAGAGGCGGCGGTCAGCGGTGCAGCTGACGCGGTCCCACTCGCCAGCACTGGCACTGGCGCCCTCCAGGCGGCAGGGATTGGTGGTGGCCCAGTTGGTGAAGGTGAGCCCCATGGCCGTCTTGATGTTGAGCAGAACCGCCGCTGATGGGGGAAGTGGCGAAAACAGGGGATGGAGGGCGAGGAGAGGGAGGTAGCGATGGGCCACAGGCACGCAGAGACCGGGACAGGGAATCGTCAAACGGATGGGTTTAAGCCTTACCGTCACCGGCATCCATGTAGAGTGTATAGCAGTTGAGCGCCACTTGAGCGCCGAAGTTCTTGACCTTGCTGGCAATAGCCGTGTCGGCGTCTGGCACGCACGGCTTGGTGCCACCGCACAGCGTGCCAGTACCATCCGTGCTGCCACATATGGCGCACGCGGTGACGGCGCGCTGGCTGCCGGCGCAGCTGCCAGTGCTGGCGAAGCAGTTGCTGCCGCTGTTGCAGAAGGACCAGGTGCCCGTGGGGATGCTTCCCACCAGGTAGTTGGAGTACAGGTCCAGACTCTTCAACTTTGTGATGGCTGTGGGACCGTGCCCGTCAGGTAGTTGAAGCGGAGCGCCCTGCAATGGGGTGGGGAGCAGACACAAGCGATAGGTGTTCAATGTTCGGGCAGTAATTGGTGCCGTGCAGGGGAATGATTGGTCTTATGCAGGGCAGCGATTGGCAGTGTCGAGGGCAGTGGTTGGTGGCGTGCAGGGCAGTGATTGGTCTTATGCCGGGCAGTGATTGGTCTTATGCCGGGCAGTGATTGGTCTTATGCAGGGCAGCGATTGGCTGCGTGGAGGGCAGTGATTGGACACGTCGAGACCAGTGATTGGTGGTGTGGATTTGCCTCCAGAGGGCGAAGCTCTTCTCATGCAAGCATTGTTCAAAGAAGGATGGAGGGAACGTGGAGGATGGCGAGAGAAGGAGCCCGAAACAGAGACACCGGGAAGGGAATGAAGAGAGGGGGAGAGAGCAAAGCCTCTACATTCTGTACTTACGCATTGGTCAGG